GGCCAATGGTTGATGGCCTAAATGTAAGGGCCACTGATTGATGGCCTAAATGTCTAGGGCCAATGATTGATACCCTAAATGTATAGGGTCAATGGTTGATGGCCTAAATGTCTAGGGCCAATGATTGATGGCCTAAATATCTAGGGCCAATGATTGATGGCCTAATTGTCTAGGGCCAATGATTGATGGTCTAAATGCACATGTCAGGCCCACTGATTGATAACACTACCCACCTTACGCACGTACTTAAATAGCAGCTACCCAAGTTTTTGTGACAAAATTCAATGATCATAAAATGGCCACTGAATATATTTCTGGCAATATTTCATCGAAATTATAAAAAAAAATTACAATTTGTTGATGGGATACGCGTCAAAGCAGGATAAATTAGCATAAATGTTTATATTAGTGGGTCGTGTTTTGGTTTTTTGTTTGTTCGGGCGCAGATAACGTGACACTTGAAGGCTACAATAAATAGGAGAATTTTCTGCACCAAATGAGAACATGGTAAGTACACAGAGTGGGAACATTCTACACTATGTAAGAACATTATGCTCTGTTGGAACATAATACACAAATTTAAATATACCGCGCCATTTGAGAATAAGCTACACCAAGTAGGAACAAACCGTAGTGAGTGAGAAAGTCCCACTTGACATTTCCAACATTTTTATTGCCGAGTAGACTGTGAATAGACCGTTAGTAACATTTTTATTGCCGAGTAGACTGTGAATAGACCGTGAGTAGACTGTGAATAGACCGTGAGTAGACTGTGAATAGACCGTGAGTAGACTGTGAGTAACATTTATTTAGGTAGTACACGTGATCCATATTTCTGGTGGATCAGCTTGTCGGTGATTGGTGCTTAGTGCTAGTATAAAGTGTTGGCTACAACCTTCCAGCAACAGTGGAGGTGTTGATAGGGCTACAGCCCACCAGAGTGGAAGTGTCGATAGGGCTACAGCCCACCAGAGTGGAGGTGTTGATAGGGCTACAGCCCACTATCAACAGTGCGAGTGATGATAGAGCTACAGCCCACCAGAGTGGAGGTGTTGATAGGGCTACAACCCACCAGAGTGGAAGTGTCGATAGGGCTACAGCCCACCAGAGTGGAGGTGTTGATAGGGCTACAGCCCACTATCAACAGTGCGAGTGATGATAGGGCTACAGCCCACCAGAGTGGAGGTGTTGATAGGGCTACAGCCCACCAGAGTGGAGGTGTTGATAGGGCTACAGCCCACCAGAGTGGAAGTGTTGATAGGGCTACAGCCCACCAGAGTGGAAGTGTTGATAGGGCTACAGCCCACCAGAGTGGAGTTGTTGATAGGGCTACAGACCACCAGAGTGGAGGTGTTGATAGGGCTACAGACCACCAGAGTGGAGGTGTTGATAGGGCTACAGCCCACTATCAACAGTGCGAGTGATGATAGGGCTACAGCCCACCAGCAATAGTGGAGGTGTTGATAGGGCTACAGCCCACCAGAGTGGAGGTGTTGATAGGGCTACAGCCCACTATCAACAGTGCGAGTGATGATAGGGCTACAGCCCACCAGAGTGGAGGTGTTGATAGGGCTACAGCCCACCAGAGTGGAAGTGTTGATAGGGCTACAGCCCACCAGAGTGGAGGTGTTGATAGGGCTACAGCCCACCAGAGTGGAGGTGTTGATAGGGCTACAGCCCACCAGAGTGTAGGTGTTGATAGGGCTACAGCCCACCAGAGTGGACCTGTTGATAGGGCTACAGCCCACCAGAGTGGAGGTGTTGATAGGGCTACAGCCCACCAGAGTGGAAGTGTTGATAGGGCTACAGCCCACCAGAGTGGAGGTGTTGATAGGGCTACAGCCCACCTGACTGGTCAAACAGCTCCACTGTTTCCTGTCACGTGCGGACGATGGAGCCACTAATGACGGCAGACGTTTGATTACGATTGGTTGTTATTGATCAGCTGGGATAACAATCACCAAGGTTTGTTTGTTCTTTTAGTTGATCTCTCTGATTGTTATCTCTCTTTGGCTAGGGTAATTCCCCCTTTTTAAACGAGAGTAGTCTCCCTTTACTGGCCTGGTATTGTTAGCCCATTGCAAATAACAAGTGAACTCTGAAATTACCACCAGTAATATTTTATGATAAAGCCCCCTGAAAATACCACCAGCAACATTTAATGATAAAGCCCCCTGAAAATAGCACCAGTAATATTTTAAAGCCCCCTGAAAATACAACCAGCAACATTTTATGATAAAGCCCCATGAAAATACCACCAGCAACATTTTATGATAAAGCCCCCTGAAAATACCACCAGCAACATTTTATGATAAAGCCCCATGAAAATACCACCAGCAACATTTTATGATAAAACCCCCTGAAAATACCACCAGCAACATTTTATGATAAAGCCCCCTGAAAATACCACCAGCAACATTTTATGATAAAGCCCCCTGAAAATAGCACCAGTAATATTTTAAAACCCCCTGAAAATACCACCAATAATATTTAATGAACACTGAAAAGACCACCAGATGTAACATGCAAAGCTGTCAGCTATCACATTTAATTTTATAAGGGGCAGCTATCACATTTAAAATATAAGGGGCAGCTATCACATTTAATTTTATAAGGGGCAGCTATCACATTTAATATAATAAAGGGCAGCTATCACATTTAATATAATAAAGGGCAGCTATCACATTTAATTTTATAAGGGGCAGCTATCACATTTAATATAATAAGGGGCAGCTATCACATTTAATATAATAAAGGGCAGCTATCACATTTAATATAATAAAGGGCAGCTATCACATTTAATATAATAAAGGGCAGCTATCACATTTAATATAATAAAGGGCAGCTATCACATTTAATATAATAAAGGGCAGCTATCACATTTAATATAATAAAGGGCAGCTATCACATTTACTATAATAAAGGGCAGCTATCACATTTAATATAATAAAGGGCAGCTATCACATTTAATATAATAAAGGGCAGCTATCACATTTAATATAATAAGGGGCAGCTATCACATTTAATATAATAAGGGGCAGCTATTCACATCATGAACGGAGTTATCTCACCTGATGACGAGTGGCTTCCCTTGGCTAGGTTCCGGTGTATCCCATGAACACAACTGTGCCAGATGCACCAGAAAAAGACCAACAAATTGGATCAAATTAGCCTCGAGAGCTCGAGCTACTCTAGCAGATCTATAGCTATATACAACTTGTCAGCAGATCTACAGCTCTATACAACTTGTCAGCAGATCTATAGCTCTATACAACTTGGCAGGTCTGTGACGGACTGAGCTATACCAGCATGGCCTTGGCCTTGGCCAAGTTAACAGCCAGCGCCCAAGTTAACAGCCAGCGCCCAATGATATCTGGCTGTTAGCTTTGTCAACAAGCGCCACTTGATTTAAATGCGTGGCTTGGTTTGCCTTGAGAAAAAAATACGTGGGAACGGTTCGAACGATGACACGGGCCTAGAAACGAATGGAAGCCCGGAGACTGCCATCTAGGCGGGGAGTGGGGCTAAATTAGACGGGGAGGGGCGGCCAGACCAAACCATGCCAGGCGTTCAGGGAGAGATGACCAAGTGAGACGCCCGGACTGCTTGTGTCATGTCTGTCGCTGACTGCGTGTCTGTCACTGGCGGCCCGCGCGCGATTAGCTCCCCTTTGTCGTCTGCTTCTCAAATATTCAGGGAGTTGTTTTTAGAAGCATGTGGATGGAAGCGTTGTCTAGTAACACAAGTCCTTGGTGTGCTATCATTTCCTAGGCTTGTAACACAAGTCCTTGGTGTGCTATCATTCCCTAGGCTTGTAACACATAACACAAGTCCTTGATGTGCTATCATTTCTAGGCTTGTAACACGTAACACAAGTCCTTGGTGTGCTATCATTTCCTAGGCTTGTAACACATAACACAAGTCCTTGGTGTGCTATCATTTCCTAGGCTTGTAACACATAACACAAGTCCTTGGTGTGCTATCATGTCCTAGGCTTGTAACACATAACACAAGTCCTTGATGTGCTATCATTTCTAGGCTTGTAACACGTAACACAAGTCCTTGGTGTGCTATCATTTCCTAGGCTTGTAACACATAACACAAGTCCTTGGTGTGCTATCATTTCCTAGGCTTGTAACACATAACACAAGTCCTTGGTGTGCTATCATTTCCTAGGCTTGTAACACATAACACAAGTCCTTGGTGTGCTATCATTTCCTAGGCTTGTAACACATAACACAAGTCCTTGGTGTGCTATCATTTCCTAGGCTTGTAACACAAGTCCTTGGTGTGCTATCATCTCCTAGGCTTGTAACACAAGTCCTTGGTGTGCTATCATGTCCTAGGCTTGTAACACATAACACAAGTCCTTGGTGTGCTATCATTTCCTAGGCTTGTAACACATAACACAAGTCCTTGGTGTGCTATCATTTCCTAGGCTCCAAGTTGCTTGTGTCAAAAGTGAACTATATTCAAACATTGACAGGTTGGCAGTTAGACAACTTATAGTTCATCACAAGCTACAACATAGTATGTCACAGATTGTCACAACCTGTCACAAGTTAAACCTGTCACAGTCTGTCATAAGTTAAACCTGTCACAATTTATTATAAGTTAAACCTGTCATAAGTTAAACCTGTCACAAGTTAAACCTGATACACATCTATCATAAGTTAAACCTGATACAAACTGTCATAAGTTAAACCTGTCACAATCTGTCATAAGTTAAACCTGTCACAAAGGTTGCAAATAAAGCTAAACACAAGCTGTTGATATAAATATTACATTTTATTGACAAGAATTTCAAAATGACAAAAATGGTACAGTCAAACACATGACATTCAGTCTCTCTCCTACCCTAAGAGTTACAGGTTTCTGGTGATGTGAAAATCACACAACTTTTTACTGCTGGCCTGTTTGTAGAGTTTAGGCTAATCAACCCTATATTTAATTATTTAGCACGTTATCAAAATATTTGTATTTTCTAATTTTTTCATTCACATTCCAGGCATTGTGTTTATTGATAACGACATGGACAAAACCTCGCCAGTCTAAAATCAAATCTTTTCAGACCCCTCCCCTACAAATCATCAGGCCATATGTGTACAAGAACAATCTCCCATTCCATGCCTGACTAACATTTTATTTTTTCTTCCTCATTACAGCTTTAGACAACTTGCTCTTGGAGTCAATTATTTGTTTTTCTTTGTACACTTCCGCCATGATGCTCTCCTCCTCCTCTTCATTCACCTTCTTGCGATAATCTACCATGATGTCCTTTTCTAGCCAGGGTTTTCGTGACTGGAACTGGAAGAATATACGAAACATGGCAAAACATTATTTTAAAATCTTTACAGTGGCGCTTGGGGTACAGAATGGAGAAATGTTTGAAACATGGCAAAACATTATTTTAAAATCTTTACAGTGGGGTACAGAATGGAGAAATGTTTGAAACATGGCAAAACATTATTTTAAAATCTTCACAGTGGGGCACAGAATGGAGAAATGTTTGAAACATGGCAAAACATTATTTTAAAATCTTCACAGTGGGGCACAGAATGGAGAAATGTTTGAAACATGGCAAAACATTATTTTAAAATCTTTACAGTGGGGCACAGAATGGAGAAATGTTTGAAACATGGCAAAACATTATTTTAAAATCTTTACAGTGGGGCACAGAATGGAGAAATGGACAAGATATAGCTGCAAGGAAAATGGAAAAATATTTGTTTTTAAATCTGTAAGGTCTGATGCGAGTTTGGGCACAGAAGAGATAATTTACACCTAACAAGTCCAAACCTGTTCTAAAACTTATTCACAATCATGAGGTTATCCTTTGAGATGTCCGCTTTAGTCATGACATTCTAAATCTTCTTTGTTCTTAATGTTGGAATAACCTGATTTCTTCCAACACAATTAACTATTACACAATGTAGGCAGCTGACTCAGATTTTCCCAGCTATCTGCCCAGGTGTTCCAACTTGGGACTTCTTGGTTTAGCAACTGTGAGCTTTACATGATCTGACCATGACAACCCCTTACATTATAAATAACGAGCCGGCCCGCGGCATAACATACGCCGCTATTTAGTTGTTGTTTTTTCTACTTTTCAGTAGTTCATAATTTGTGAATTCGACAGTACCAACGCTGACACTGAAAATATTTCTTTAAAACACTATAAGTAGCTCGTTAAGGACCATAACCCCCCCCCCCCCCCCCCCCCCCCAACGTTTAAAATCATTTCAAACTAAACTATCTGCCCCTAATAGTCGTCACTAAACCCAGCTCTGCTTGTAAACATTTAGAGTGAACACAGCTCACTAATATCATGTAGGGGTGGTAGGGCGCGCGTTTACAGCTTGTTTTCTAGTGTCTCCCAGAAGAGAATTATATATATAGATTGTAAAAAATTCTATAGTCTCTAGACACCATTCCTTCATGTTACAAATACCTTTGAGAGTCGTCTTATCATTCTTTTGTTCATGTCTATGGGCTCAATGCCCTGGAAATTGAATCGCTCCCATCTTGTGTCCCAAGGTTTTGGATTTAACTTGACCTGGAACAATAAAAATTTAGGATTCAACTTGACCAGAAACAATGGAACAAACAAAAATTTAGGATTTAACTTGACCTGGAACAATAAAAATTTAGGATTCAACTTGACCAAACAAAAATTTAGGATTCAACTTGACCTGGAACAAACAAAAATTTAGGATTCAACTTGACCTGAAACAATGGAACAAAAATTAACCATTGAGAAGCCATTAACACTCTGACCATGTCCTGATGTGTTCAAAGCTGGATCAACACCACTGTGACGTTTGATACACATAACAATATGAGACTTAATATTTGATACACACATAACAATATGAGACTTAATATTTGATACACACATAACAATATGAGACTTAATATTTGATACACACATAACAATATGAGACTTAATATTTGATACACACATAACAATATGAGACTTAATGTTTGATACACACATAACAATATGAGACTTAATATTTGATACACACATAACAATACGAGACTTAATATTTGATACACATAACAATATGAGACTTAATATTTGATACACACATAACAATATGAGACTTAATATTTGATACACACATAACAATATGAGACTTAATATTTGATACACACATAACCATATGAGACTTAATATTTGATACACACATAACAATATGAGACTTAATATTTGATACACACATAACAATATGAGACTTAATGTTTGATACACACATAACAATATGAGACTTAATATTTGATACACACATAACAATATGAGACTTAATATTTGATACACACATAACAATATGAGACTTAATATTTGATACACACATAACAATATGAGACTTAATATTTGATACACACATAACAATATGAGACTTAATATTTGATACACACATAACAATATGAGACTTAATATTTGATACACACATAACAATATGAGACTTAATATATGATACACACATAACAATATGAGACTTAATATTTGATACACACATAACAATATGAGACTTAATATTTGATACACACATAACAATATGAGACTTAATATTTGATACACACATAACAATGAGACTTAATATTTGATACACACATAACAATATGAGACTTAATATTTGATACACACATAACAATATGAGACTTAATATTTGATACACACATAACAATATGAGACTTAATATTTGATACATACATAACAATATGAGACTTAATATTTGATACACACATAGCAATATGAGACTTAATATTTGATATTGGGATAAGAATGAGACATTTTTTGTAGTTCCCTTTAGAAGTGGTAGTCTCCCTTTCCCTACAAGAATTCACCATTCCCGCAGTTGTCTTCATTTGATTTTATGTGTCATTTTTATATCAACTGATTACACTGCCTGTTGCAGTTGATATAAAACATTAGTACTATTAAGACTTAGAATGTAAACACTAGTGGTGTAAAATCTGTGTTGCTAATAAATAAGTCTGGTGCTTGCACAAGAACTATAGCTGTTGCATAACAAGTGCTATAAACCATTTTTAAAATTATGCTTTGTATACTCAATGATCTACACAGGAAGAGACATGACAACTATGTAAGCTCAATGATCTACACAGGAAGAGACATGACAATACTTAGTTGTCATTTACAACAAATTTTTAAACTATGCTCTGTAAGCTCAATGATCTACACAAGAAGAGACATGACAACTATGTAAGCTCAATGATCTACACAGGAAGAGACATGACAACTCTGTAAGCTCAATGATCTACACAGGAAGAGACATGACAACTATGTAAGCTCAATGATCTACACAAGAAGAGACATGACAACTATGTAAGCTCAATGATCTACACAGGAAGAGACATGACAACTATGTAAGCTCAATGATCTACACAGGAAGAGACAACTATGTAAGCTCAATGATCTACACAGGAAGAGACATCTATGTAAGCTCAATGACAACTGGACTAAGTTACTAGTCACTAAGTTTTCTGGTGCCAGACCTTGATGGGGTTGACAGGAACTTGGGCCCCGCGGGACAGTGGTACAGGTGAGAAGTCAAAGCTGATGGTGCTGTGTTCAGGTGGGCAGTCACGCAGGTAGTACAGCATGTCATCCAACCGCTTCTCCAGCTTCAACACTTCTATAGAGTGGACCACTGGGTTGTACATCAGGTACCTGATTTCAACACCTGTACAAGATAACATGGGTTCCCAGCTCATTAGCACTAAAACTATTAGCTATGCTTTGTGACTAAATTATATGTTTAATTAACTTCTTAAAAATCAATCCAGGTTTCTTATATAAATTAGTAATTTTTGGCTCAATTGTGCACACTTCATATAAGTTCAATTTGTGCACAATTCTTTTTTTCTAAGCGACTCTATTCTATTTAAAGTATTAAAAAATAATAAATAAAACATTTCTAAAGCTGATAGCATTGAAAGTGAAAGAAGTTTAGGTGAAATCACTCCTGCTTTATTTATTGTTAATGTTAATATTGAGGTTTTCAATAATCTTGTAGAAGATATGTGAGGCATTTAAATGAAGAGAAACAAATTACCAAGGCCATCAACAATATTTCGGAGAACAAAGAAAGCTCTGAGCCCATGGCCTCCTCTGTCAATACAAAGGCCAACAAATCTGCTTGTCTTGCCTGGACTGTGAGGGTCAGAGATGGTCACTGCCATTATGCTACCTGCAGCAAATCAAATGGGTCAAAACAACAATTTACTCACTCAACACATTGTAAATGACACACAGAAAAAAAAACTCAAGGAGATCTCATGACATGGCACAGGACTGATCAAACTAGTGTTTTTACAGAAGGTTTCTACGACTAATAAATATTTTAAAATATGTTTAACTGACCAACATAAAACTCTGGGATGTTAATGATATTTCTCCGCCTGAGCATATCTCGCCTCTCCAGCTTTTCTAGAACTCTGTCTCTATACCTAAAGTCTGGGTTTGGCATAAACTCAGGCATTATAAATCTAAGGAGGAAAAAAGAAAAATAATGTAGTTAAGTTTATCCTCAAACAACTGTGTGTAGCGAACTAAAGGATTCATCCCAAGCTACCAGCAAACAAATCACCTGTAATCTCTAGGTGCTGTGGTTTCAGATTCAACTTCAATGTTCTCCGTCCCTTTCTGCAGGGGAGAATGCCTGTACTTGTCAACCAGATCATAATGAAGGTAATTGGGCTTCTTACGCAGGGCCAGGTCGACCTCTGCCCTTGTGCGTTTGTAATTTACTACATGTGTAGTTTTATGTGCAACACTTACATGACTGCATGACACTGTGGAAACATTGTATTTGTACATAATTAAATCAACAACAGATTAAAACACATACTTTACGCAACAATGGAAATATTCCAATTAGGCCAGTTGATTTACTGTTATTAAATGAAGCATCTGTGGGGGAAAAAGTGCAAGAAGAAAGCTTTTAACCAAACAAGTGGAGTAGAATGATCACAAGGGTTGTATTTATTTAAATATCTTTTCTACATTCAATTTTTTTTAAATATTCAAGAATTATGTCAACGCTCAACATTTGACGGGTAAAGTTAAAGTAAAGTTCATTGTTCATACTCCAGTGAATCCAGTGGCTTCAGACATAGGATTGGATAGAGTTAGATAAACGCAGCTAGTAATGAGTAAATTCTAAAAAGAGCTATATCTACTCTAGATCTGGAATTTTTAGATAGGCCTATCTATTCTAACTACTTAATAAAAAATAACTACTAGTCTACTAACTAAGAATCTTAGAATAGTCTTGTAACTCTTGTTAGAATATAGAATAGATAGATCTAGATCTAGTAGTAGATCTAGCTAGATCTAGATCTAGTAAAGTTTTAAGACTTTAAGTAAGAGCTGAGTTAAGAGTAGATTAGTAGATCCTCCTAGATCTACCTAGCATGACATCCTAGAACATTACTAAATCTATCTAATATTCTAATCTAGTAAAAACCTCAAAATTAGTGCCTAAAAAATCTATTCTAACAATCTACTCTAGATCTAACTCTAGCGTAGAGTCAGCAGTGCAGCACTGGTCATACAGTCATAAACTCAGACTGGGTAAAACTCCATTTTAGCGTATTTTATTCTCGGCTTGTCGTTTACCTCCAGTTGAGCGTATTTTATTATAATAACCGAAACACACCAAAACATTGACATTAGGAAAACACGATTTATTTATTTGAATTTTATTTTTGTTTTCACAAATAAATAAAAGTGAATATTTTAAAAAAAATGACTTTTTTATTTGTGTGGTATTTTTTTTTAAAACATCGATATTTTTCTAAAATCTTGTCAAAACTCTGTCAACATAGACTATTTTAGTATTTTAATCAACTCCTATTAGGCCTACTATTTATTAAAACTGTTTTCTAAAACGTGAAATAACGTCTAAAACTCATTTTCTAACATTGCTTTTTTATAATGCAAAAAACTGACGTTGCACCATCTGAACCTCCGCCTCATAACACACCGTCACAAAATTATGGACCCCCTCCCCCCTACGAGTGTGACGTCATTTATGGACGACCACTTGTGCCTTTTAATACTTTTATTCAGTTTAGTTGAAAATTGGAACACTTAGAATGACTTAGATCTAGATATTCGTACATTGTACAAAGTGTGCATCTCTAGTATTTTTGTAACCAACAAACAATTACAAAGCATTTCAGTCAGTCTCTTTGTTGTTTTTATTCATTTGTTAAAATAAAAATACAATACACATATATAAATCGTGTTTTCCTAATGTTTTGGTGTGTTTCGGTTATTATAATCAAATACGCTCGACTGGAGGTAAACAAGCAGAGAATAAAATACGCTAAAATGGAGTTTTACCCTCAGGCCTCAGTCCAGTCAGACTATTCTTTTGAATACAATACATTTATTTTTAGATCTATATGAAAAATAGTTTACAGATTTTTATGCCTTCAGCCAACTACTAAAAATGAACTATGCTTACATGAATTAATTCCTAACAGCAATGGCTTTCGTAAAATTGATTTCCAAACAAGAGCAGTATGACAAATGGAGGCTGCCATCTTGCCCTTGTATATTTTAAAAAGTATTTTGCCGAAACAAAACAATCCTCCGCACGGGAAAAGTATTACCCATATTTAGGCCGAATAAGGGTGAATTTAGAGCTAGATAAATATTATAAATGCACCAAAATATGATCCTTAAGGCACTTTGGCATAATTAAATTTTTCATACTAAAATTGAATCAAAATTGGTAGTGCTTACGTATTTTTTTTTTAAATGTTACCCTTATAATCTAAAAACAATAATCTTTCATAAAACCAACTATTGGTCTATTACCCTTAATCACCTAATCCTTATCGGCCGAATGGAAACCTACACAACTCTAGAGACTTAGATCTATAGACTACTTTTATCAAGCGCATACATGGCTTAAACTTAGCTTAGAAGTAATGCAATCCTCTTTTATTAAATAAATAATCCTTTATTCTAGATTTATAAACTATTTACATAGCCTATATGGTGGATCTATAAAGTAATTGAAAACAAATATTTGTCAACAAGTGGAAATCGTCTGCACTTGTTAGCTTTTCATTTTTCATGTACGATTTGCACAAGTTAATATATTTTATACTAATTGTGTGTGCATAAAGTATGCTTTGTATAATACGTAACTATAGTTTGATTTAATTTAAGAAGCAGTGTTGTGGTGGGGTAGTAGCCAATGGAAGCACCTTGCTTTAAAAAATTTTTATAGAGTAGGACCTACAAATGCGTCGTGGACATTTACATCATTGCTCGACTGAGATTGCATTCGAATTTTTAATTTGTTCATATGCGGTTTCATTCCGCTGCTTCCAGCATAGAACCATTACGGAAACGGTGCGATGATGTCATTAAGTGACACGCCTACAAAGCTCTTGAAAGAACACAGGTAAATCTATGGCGTAGGAATTTTAAAAAAAAATTAAATCATAATATGAAAAATTGCGGCAAATAGTATTTGAAATGCTATATAAAAATTAAACTCGTATAACTAAAATTCTAAACAAACACAACACAAGCTCAATTATTTTAATTTTATAATAAATGATGCAAGGTCCTATTTTTCTATGGAGAGGCGGAAGGCTACATTTTTCCAACCGGTGGGGTTGTGAAACAGTTACAGGTGTGACAACATTCAGCGACTAGAATTCCAGTGAATTACAAGTTCCTTTCAATATCGTCTGCCTAGCAGGGACCCCTATCGTGAGTAGATTATTCATCTATGCCACTTATTGTTTACATAGAGACATCGGTAATTTATAGACATGATATAAAGAAAATAGCTGCGACATTAGTTTCAACTGGAACGGTTATTTTAGATCGATATTTTCTAGAGATAAATAATATTGAGTTGTCGCCCCTGGTTAGTACTAGATCTAGATCTATTCCTCAGGAATGAAAATAATAATAGAATTAGAATCTATAAATAATTGCAAGGAATAGGAGTTGAGTTTTTGAAAAGTGTTTTAGTATGCGTGTTCTTGACCGGTGTTTAAAAAATGTAAATAGACCAAAGACGTAGGCCTATATCAAACGGAATTAACAGCCATTGTTAAGTTGATCATTGATACAGACAACGCTATTGTGTCAGAATGGATAGCTCCACATATGTTGTATCGTCACGGCCATGCAAATAGCCCGGCCCTACATTTAATGACATGACCCCCAGCCCCACCATTGTGCAACAAACTCGTGTGGAGAATCCTCTTCCTTCAGTACTGTCACACATGACTGAGCAGGTCATAAACCGTCTAACACAGGAAGCTTTTGTTTGCTTTGTTGGACTGGATCAACTCAAAGATATATATATATATATATATATATATATATATATATATATATATATATATATATATATATATATATAAAATTTATGTATAAAACAGAGAAGTTAGCTGGGAACATCTCTGCTGGCTAGGGGAACAGGGCATTTCCCCCTGTCAATTACCCCCCCCCCCCCCGGAGTAATTACCCCCCTGTCAATAACCCTCGCCCAGTAGGACATTACACCCCCCCTCCAGACAGGGTTAGAGTTAGGGCTATGGTTAGGGTTAGGCTTAAACCAATGTCTAGCGTTGGTTTTGGTTTTGTGTGAAGTTTTAGGCTGAGGTGGATGCTTAGGTTTTGGTCTTTTTCTTAAGGTTTGGATTAAAGTAGTATATAGGTATAGAATTCTAGTTAGAGTTAGGATTCTAACTTGAGAGGGGGGGGGGGGTGTAATTCCTCAGGGGGGGGGGGGTAATTGACAAGGGGTAATTTCCGGGGGGGGGGGGGGGGTAATGTCATGTAGCCGCTGGCTAGTGTTAGGTGGAAACATCTCTGTTAGCTGGTGTTAGGTGGAAACATCTCTGTTAGCTGGTGTTAGTTCTACTTGTGTATATTCTGGATGCTGGTCATGTATCAAATTTAAACAAGGATGAAGTTTACATGGACTGTCAATACAAACATACCAGAACTAGTGTACATTTCTCCATGTCAGTGTGTCTATGACATACAAGTCTACACACCTCATGACGTGTACACAACCTCATGACGTGTACACAACCTCATGACGTGTACACAATTCTATGACCAGTCTATAGGACAATGTGGACAGCAATGTAAGCAAGGACACAACCTCTCACCCAATGTAGGACACACAACGCCTCACGAAAAAAGTAAGGGATACAATCCTCCCTAAAATGTAAGACAATTAACCCCTCACCAAAATACCGGGATTACAACCCCTCACCAAAATGTAGGGAACACAATCTCTCATTAAAAATGTAGGGGACACAACAACTGACCAAAGTATAGGGGACACAACCTCTCAGCCAAATATACGGGACACAACAATCGACCAAATATAGGGGACACAACCCCGCACTAAAATGTAGGGGACACAATTCTCAGCAAAATGTAGGGGACACAACCCTCACTAAAATATAGGGGACACAACTTCTCCTGAATGTCTCGGCAGCAGTTAGATTTCTGATCCATATAGCCACTATTTATGTCTGCTGCCAGGCTCTGTTGATCACTTTCCTCTGCCCTATTGACACCCAGACCAGCCAAGGTCACCACGCTGACCTCTAGACAAGGTCACCAGGGTCAATATGTTGACCACACATTTTCTAAATAGCCTGGTTAAATTTCTCCCCTTACAGTTGAACCATTTTTTAAACAGCTGCTTTATTACACTTACACGTGACCAATGTAGAACACACGTGACTAACGTAAACAACACATTTTACACATCCACCTCAAATCTGCTTTATTACAAACGATTAACGAAAGCAACACATCCACCCCACAGAGTTTCCTCAATCCCGCTTCAATCTCCCCCCCTCCCCCCGCTATCACTGAAGTTAGCGACAGTAATCTAGAAAAGTAATTTAATACTGTTGGAATGTTTTCATTTATACCAATGTCTGCAAACAACTTGATTGCTATTTGCAATACGCATCTTTGTAACTTTGCAATGTTTTTTGTTATTTGAGAGCTAAATTTGTTTCCAAAGTTAAAACTTTTTTTTTTTACATCAGTCCCTTTCAACAGAGTTTCTTCCAGGCATCTCTTTGGGGGGGGGGGGGGGGGGGGGGGGGAGAAAGTCTACCCCGAACGAAATGGAATTTATATTTTTAAAAATATATATTTTTAACAATGTCCGCTCCCCGAAAATTTCAAATGCCACCCCCCCCCCCCCCCGGAGAAAAAAGTCTGAAAGAAACACTGCTTGTCAATGCCTATAAACTTGTCAATTCATATATACGGGGTCGGTGTGGTCGAGTCGGTAAAGCTCATGGTTGCTACACCGAAAAGTCTCGAGTTCGAACCCTCGGGCAGATGAGGCTCGTCAATGCCTATAAACTTGTCAATTCATATATACGGGGTCGGTGTGGTCGAGTCGGTAAAGCTCATGGTTGCTACACCGAAAAGTCTCGAGTTCGAACCCTCGGGCAGATGAGGCTCGTTAGCTGGGGACAGCCACTCTTCTAACAACTGCTGCCTTGAAGTTTGTTCTTGGTTGGACAAAGGCTATGGAAGCAAATCCAAAAAGAAAAGCAGGCTGAAATCGGAGTCAATGGCCTCAATGACGCATAACCAGTTGACAAGTAATCCTTAATTGTGATTCGAAAAAAGTCTCTAGTTCAAACCCTCTGGCAGATAAGGCTCGATCCCTCCCAACACCAAAAATTAAGAACGAAGAAGAAGAAAAGAAGAAGAAGAACTCGTATAAGCTTGTCACACTTGTCAATCCCTATAAACTTGTCATTTTCTATCAACTTTACTTTAACCTTGTTTAAGTCCCTATAAACCTGTTATTCCTTATAAACCTGTCAATCCCTATAAATTTGTCAGTCTTACAGGTGCTGTAACTGCTGACCTGTTTAGTTACTTCAGTCTTCCCACAAAACTTATCTTTTACTCTATTTATAGACCCTACATTTTAATCGATGTAGAATCGTTTTTTTCCCTTGGTGCGATATACCTGTAGCGTCATCAGGATCAATCTCCTCACCTACACACGTCTGATATATTATCCTAATATATCCTGATACAAGTCTAGTGACTAATACAATATCCTAATACAAGTCCTGTGGCTGTTATACAATACAAGTCCTGTGGCTGTTATACAATACAAGTCCTGTGGCTGTTATACAATACAAGTCCTGTGGCTGTTATACAATATCCTAATACAAGTCCTGTGGCTGTTATACAATATCCTAATACAAGTATAGTGACTTGTACAATATCCTAATACAAGTATAGTGACTTATACAATATCCTAATACAAGTCTAGTGGCTATGGTAGAATATCGTAATAAAGTGTTAGTTATGTCCTGGGCCGTGGTTATAATTTCCTTTTGGAACTAGTTAATTAAAGTAAGTCAATCACCACTGTCTGTTGTAGGGTACTGTCGGTTGTACGCTACTGCTCTGTTGATGATGTGTACTCAGACAACAGCAAAGTGTGAACTGTAACGTGTACATGTGTGTCTAATTTTATTGCCAGTTAGTCACAAAAGTAGGGACACCTTGGCCTCCAGTTTATGGCAGTATTTTCGTCTTATCTCAGCTGTTAGACTCGCGAGTTATGTCACACAATTTGTGTTGTGCTGTTGGTAAAGTTTTTTTTATATATACATTGTTAACACTTTTTGGAAATCCGTGGCATTTGGTATGTAAACTGTATGTGGATGTTGTTTCGTTATTTTGGTGTTGGTCTTGATTAAAGGGCAAAAATGGTCCTGTATTCAACAAGGCTTACTTTCAGTATCTTGAGGCTTCGTGACTAAGCCCCTTCTTCTGTTGCTAAATGAACGAAATGGAATTTATATAGAAAACATATATTTTTACCAGTGCCCAACCTATGACTGCTGATACTCGCTCGCCCCAACCTATGACTGCTGATACTCGCTCGCCCCAACCTATGACTGCTGATACTCGCTCGCCCCAACCTATGACTGCTGATACTCGCTCGCCCCAACCTATGACTGCTGATACTCGCTCGCCCCAACCTATGACTGCTGATACTCGCTCGCCCCAACCTATGACTGCTGATACTCGCTCGCCCCAACCTATGACTGCTGATACTCGCTCGCCCCAACCTATGACTGCTGATGATTCAATACTCGCTCGCCCCAACCTATGACTGCTGATGAGTCAATACTCGCTCGCCCCAACCTATGACTGCTAAGTGCGCTATCTGCGCGTGTTTTTTTTATCAATATTTATATCCTGCATATCGCATCCAATTTCCATTTAGCCGTCGATAAGCCTCGACATCTGTGAGCTTTTGGGAACGTCTAACGCCATGCTGGTGTACAGGCTCGTTCTGTGGGTTTCACATTCGCTTCTTAACTTATCACGATCTTAAGATAACTTGGTATGTGTACCGGTATTTAAAGCATGACTTGTGCAGTACACATCTGATGCTACTAGCTTTGAACAAACACGCTATGATGTAACTATTTTTAGAGCAACACCTAGGTTGTTGCCATTGACCTGACACATGTGTAGATCGATTTAATACAACAAGAACATTGAGGCTAGGATCTACACAGTTTAAACGTGTAGAGGGGGATGGAAGCAGGCGTTGTTACTGAAATAGCAATATAAACAGAAAGGGATATTTCAACGCCAAGGGTAGACAAAGGTACAGAAAATAGTCCAAGTAGAGACAGCAGTTTCAAACCCAACGGGATCCGAACCTACCTGAACACTTTTGCCAACCAGCTCTACACACAGTGTAAGCAATATTCTAGGGCTATGGCATTCCTTCGTGATCATCGTAGCTATTGGGCAAAGTAATTTTTTTTCGCAATAAATGTTTATGCCTAGTGAGCAGTGTTTCTTCCAGACTTTATTCGGGGGGGGGGGGGCAGTGTTAAAAGTATATATTTTCTATATAAATTCCATACTATATATATATATATATATATATATATATATATATATATATATATATATATATATATATATATATATATATATATATATATATATATATATATATATATATATATATATATATATATATATATATATATACATACTTTTTAATCTCCATGACATACCCCACCCTACACACTCACTAGCAGAGAGTTTCTTAAAGTCTACTCCCCCCCCCCCCCCCGAACGAAATGGAATTTATATAGAAAATATATACTTTTAACACTGCCCCCCCCCCCCCCCCCCCCGGAAATTTCAGGTTAACCCCCCCCCCCCCCCCCCCCCCGAGAAAAAAGTCTAGAAGAAACAATTCCTTTGGTACGACGTTCTAAACAAAGGGTGGGGGAATAATGTTACTAGGTTATGTTTTGAGCAAAGTTTTCTAGCCAGGAAATGCCATCGCCGAGACCTCGTGAAACAATGGACAAGTTTTTAAACTGCTGGCTGTATTGATTTTACCCGGGATGTTTTTATCAGACTTGCAAAGGCCTACATGTGCTGTAGCAAAATCTGGGTTGGAGAGCACTTACAATAACTTACATCAAATATTTATTATTTTGTATGTGAACTCTCTTGTTCTTGACTTGCTATAAAAATTCGTGCATCCTATCTATTGAGTAGCCAAACTATCCCCCACACAAATGTGTGTCCCCCTTCTATTGAGTAGCCACACTACCCCCCATACAAATGTGTGTGTATCCCTTCTATTGAGTAGCCAAACTATCCCCCACACAAATGTGTGTCCCCCTTCTATTGAGTAGCCAAACTATCCCCCACACAAATGTGTGTGTCCCTAGTATTGAGTAGCCACACTATCCCCCACACAAATGTGTGTGTATCCCTTCTATTGAGTAGCCAAACTACCCCCCACACAAATGTGTGTGTATCCCTTCTATTGAGTAGCCAAACTATCCCCCACACAAATGTGTGTGTCCCTTCTATTGAGTAGCCCCACATCTCCCACAAATGTGTGTGTGTATCCCTTCTATTGAGTAGCCAAACTATCCCCCACACAAATGTGTGTCCCTTGTATTGAGTAGCCACACTATCCCCCACACAAATGTGTGTAGCACTTCATTTCCGGAACTTGTTTGACTGGTTTCAGTGTGTTGAACACGAACTTGGTCCCACCAACCATTTTACCCGGGGTGTGTACAAAGTTTGCTATTTGTGGATGCAGGCGAATTGATTCTTGACAAATTCCTTTACAAATGGAGTGGGCGGGACGGGGATATACGGGGGGGGGGGGACATAAGGTTGACTGTGTGTCGTATACAAGTGTCCCCCCCCCCCCCGGAGAAAACAGTCTGGAAGAAACACTGGTCGTATATTCTAGCACTACTATCTATACGAGTACCCGGTATCGAAGATGGACAAGTTTAGCGAACTTAATTAACCTAATTAGATGAACCAGATAACACGAACTGAGACAACACGGCGGGGATCTAGTAGATACAACAGGCAATGTGTACGGCCAATCACTTCGTTTGAGAACTGGGATATAGGGCGCCACTTTAAAGCCAGGGTATAGGGCGCCACTTTATAGCCAGGGTATAGGGCGCCACTTTATAGCCAGGGTATAGGGCGCCACTTTATAGCCAGGGTATCGGGCGCCACTTTATAGCCAGGGTATCGGGCGCCACTTCATAGCCAGGTTCTAGGGCGCCACTTTATAGCCATGGAATTTGTCCTGAGATCATTTGTCATGGAACTCATTCAACAGATATTTGGGTGAGTCTTGTTACGGCTAACTTCCCCCTTCATCGACCATATTGTCTAAACTGGTACAACAATCATGTCCTTACTATATTGAGGTAATAATATGCTGATAAAGGGTCAAGGCTTTTAAACGTCGAACCGTTACTTCCGGGTAGGGGAGATAACACTATTAACACAGGCTCGACTAAACCATGTGTACATCTTCTACAACATTTTGTTTTGCAACATTTTGTTCTGCAACATTTTGTTCTGCAACATTTTTTGTACCATTTTCTTCTGCAAGATTATTCTAGGAAAAAAATTAAGATAAAGGAATAATTAATAAATGATTATTACTTAGCTGTGCGTGAAAGCGGAGAAAATACAAACCAAACTAAATAGTGCAGCAGTTATAGGTAATTAAAAATGAATGTAAATATGTAGGTGTATCCATGACAACCATCGTTGTAGTTTTTCACTCGTTTTTATTTAATTTTTTTATAAATGACTGAAACGTGATAGTACGTCGATGTCGGCTGACATTATCGTATCACACTGGCCGTTACGTGATCTTGTGAGGTGACGTGATCTTGTGAAGTGACGTGATCGTGTGAGGTGACGTGATCTTGTGAGGTGACGTGATCTTGTGAGGTGACGTGATCTTGTGAGGTGACGTGATCTTGTGAGGTGACGTGATCGTGTGAGTTGGCGTGATCTTGTGAAGTGACGTGATCTTGTGAGATGACGTGATCGTGTGAGGTGACGTGATCGTGTGACGTGATCTTGATCTTGTGTCGTGATCGTGTGAGGTGACGTGATCGTGTGACGTGATCTTGATCTTGTGTCGTGATCGTGTGAGGTGACGTGATCGTGTGACGTGATCTTGATCTTGTGTCGTGATCGTGTGAGGTGACGTGATCGTGTGACGTGATCTTGATCTTGTGTCGTGATCGTGTGAGGTGACGTGATCGTGTGAGGTGAAGTGATCGTGTGAGTTGACCTGATCTTGTGAGGTCGTGATAATTTATATGCGGGTACTTTGTTTTAAAGTGTAGGTATTTTTAGTTCATCGGGAATCAGTAGGAGTTAGGACTTTTGTTTCATTTCCAACGGCTCTTCTCGATTATATATTTACCTGCCGTGACTCATTCATCAAAAACTTGTTCTATCCGGCCGTCGTGTCGTCTACTCTGTCTTATTTAAATTAGCGTGAAGGTTGGAACAAATAAATTGCCTCTACAGATCCCCATACGGTGCTTGGTCACACACGGAACTTAATTAGGTCATAGATCACCTCTCGATATTGATCCGGATACGTGTGTAAACTATTGAAATGTTGTATGATTAGAAATTTAAAAACCAAACGAATGCCAGGTGATGCTGACGTTACTTCAACAGCTAAAGCCTAAAGACCAGTTAGCCTTGAGGAATTAGTGCCGTTTTTATAGCAGACGTGGTATTTGTAGGCCGACATTGAGGGGACCAGGGAGCTGCCACATCAATGGTTCTCAATTCTTATTGGTTAAATCCAGCATTCAAAATAAAGAACGATGGGTCTGTTTCAGTTTGACACAGTTGTTTGACTCCATGTTATTTTTAAACTAGTTTTTAGTTTTAAATTTGCACATAGTATTGTCCATATCTGACGTAATGCTTCCTTTCCTCCCCCTCCTATTATTGAAGCAAGATTTTTCTTGATAAAATTTTAAATAAGCTGGCTCAAGATTAGGATTTTGATCAGTTTGTATTCCTTTAAAAAAACAATTAGGCCGTCAATAAAGTCCATCTCCCCCCCCCCCCCGGACCCCACCCCCATTTTAAAAATATTGTGGATCCATTATTTTGCGTACCCTTGCGTTTCTTTAAACAAAAGAAATAAACCTCAATGTTGAAGGCCTACACAGTATAAAACTACACAACGTATGTTTTAATCGACGTGTCTGGTGTTCGCTTGACAACACGAGAACCACTGGTATCAGACGATCAAATGTTTCCATTGATGTGTCGTCACACAAGCTGGCCAGTGACTAGCAGGGGAATAATCCAGTCAGTGGTTTATAAAAAACAAGGACGAAGTTTGCGTGTCCCGGTGGATTATTTGTAGTCGGCTTTGGTGTGTTGGTTTACACGCTTCGATGTGTCTGTGTTGACCCACTTAATCAGTACCTCAACGGATGATGCGTCTAATCAGATCTCGTAGCTCTCACTGATTTCCAGAGTAGTTGAAGCAGTCAAATAATTTTACTAAACATAGATCTAGATGTGTATGTGATCTGTTTACAGTCTTATTAGTTATTTAATATTTGTTATTAATGAATGCACTTCACTGGTGTCTAACTCTAGGACTACAAATTATATTGAGAACAAATTTACCCCCCCCCCCCCAATCATTAATGAGATTATTGGTATTGATTTTATTTTTTAGCTTTAATAATTAAAAGGCCTATTTAATATTATTTAATTTGGAATTTGGTTTTTAGTGCGATATTAATTATGAATGATTTAAAAATATTAAACTTTGTAACTATAGTTGCTAAATAGATCTAAAGTCAATTGACAATTCTATTCTAAAATGTAATGATTTTTTTCTTTGTTTCAGATTCTGGTTAAGTTGAACTAACTCAGAATGGACGGGGGAAAGAGGGTCTGGGTCCCTCACAATATTGAGGGCTTTAAGCTAGGCCGGATTGTGGACATAGGCTCGGATACAATTTGTATCGAGCCCTTCGATGCCCCGGGGACTGTAAGTAGAGCCTCTCATATTTCATATGATTCATATAAAACCTCAATTCAGAGAAAATCCAACGAATTAACCTTGTATTGTAATGAATCATGTTTTGATAAAAATGTTGCTCTTGTGAAAAGCAGTAGGCATACATTTAAACTTTAAAATTAAGATTGATATGTCTCTAATAAATTGAAATATATGTTATATAACGCAATATTATGTTACATAATCAATTCAACTACAAAACTTGCAGACAATCAATTTACAATGTCTATGTTATAACATTATTTGACTACAAAACTTGCAGACAATCAATTTACAATGTCTATGTTCTAACATTATTTGACTACAAAACTTGCAGACAATCAATTTACAATGTCTATGTTATAACATTATTTGACTACAAAACTTGCAGACAATCAATTTACAATGTCTATGTTATAACATTATTTGACTACAAAACTTGCAGACAATCAATTTACAATGTCTATGTTCTAACATTATTTGACTACAAAACTTGCAGACAATCAATTTACAATGTCTATGTTATAACATTATTTGACTACAAAACTTGCAGACAATCAATTTACAATGTCTATGTTATAACATTATTTGACTACAAAACTTGCAGACAATCAATTTACAATGTCTATGTTATAACATTATTTGACTACAAAACTTGCAGACAATCAATTTACATTGTCTATGTTATAACATTATTTGACTACAAAACTTGCAGACAATCAATTTACAATGTCTATGTTATAACATTATTTGACTACAAAACTTGCAGACAATCAACTCGCTGTACGACAGAACCTTCCCTGCTGAGGAGTATGACAACAAGGACTGTGAGGATAACTGTGAGTGAATAAACGATTGCCTCCCTTTATCCTGATTTGTGAACAATTGACATTTTTCTGTTATTTGAAACTTTTAGAAATTAAATTCTACAAATTGTAAATGTTATCTATGTTGCTATTTATGAATCGACTGGATTGTTTTTTCAAAGAAGCTTTTTGGACCAAGTTTTCTTTCCTCTGAATTATTCTGAATTAGTAGTTATGAAAACCCAGACAACATTTTTTAAATTGTGAATACAATCATCCTTTATTATAAAATAATTTTGGGATGTATTCTATGATTTTTTGTGTCACACTAACGTAATCAATTTCTAGGTGCCTTGATGTATCTGAATGAGGCAACTCTTCTACACAACATTAAAATCAGATACATGAAGAACCAGATCTATGTAAGTTACACTGTGTTTTTTACCCCTTCCTACACCATCAAAACAACCCACACTGGTACAGTGTAACTATAAGCTGTACCACTGGGTACCTTGTGTATTTCATCAACACCAAAATGGCTTTTAACTCAATATAATATTCAACAGTTTTAAACTCATCCAAACATGAATATGTGTATATTTATAATTTGTCTATGGACCTCTTATAAAATTAATTAATACGTTTTTAGTTATCTAAATTATCTATTCATAAGATTACTTCAACGCATACACTTTTAAAACAAGATAGTTTCTCAAATTTTATATTGTAATGTATGTTTAAACACTGTTTAAAGTCTTATATTTGTATGTTTATCACTATTATGTCCACAGACATACACTGCAAACATTCTGATTGCCATAAACCCGTACTATGAGGTTCCTGACTTGTACACAGTCGCAACAATCAAGAAATATCAGGGCAAGTCTTTGGGGACATTACCACCTCATGTCTATGCTATAGGTAGGTGTAACATTACCACCTCATGTCTATGCTATTGGTAGGTGTAATATTACCACCTCATGTCTATGCTATAGGTAGGTGTAACATTACCACCTCATGTCTATGCTATAGGTAGGTGTAACATTACCACCTCATGTCTATGCTATAGGTAGGTGTAGAATCTGGGCAAGTCTTTGGGGACATTGCCACCTCATGTCTATGCTATAGGTAGGTGTAATATTACCACCTCATGTCTATGCTATAGGTAGGTGTAACATTACCACCTCATGTCTATGCTATAGGTAGGTGTAACATTACCACCTCATGTCTATGCTATAGGTAGGTGTAGAATCTGGGAAAGTCTTTGGGGACATTACCACCTCATGTCTATGTGCAGTTATTCCTAGAAGTTGTGCACTTTTTGCCTTAGCTAACTGCGCCAACAGTGAACTGTGTACAGCAACATTATTTTGTAATTTTACAAGTTAATCACGTACAATTAAGTTACAATCCAATCTGGATGAAAAAATCTTTTGATATTTAGTGGATTTTTAAAAAAATATTTCAATTGGTTTTAATATACAGTAAGTTAAATTCTGCAGTTGTAGTGTTACGTTTTATGAGAAGATAACATTCCACATAAAACACAAAATGTTTAAAACTTTTAATTTTAATTACAATTAGCTACATAAAAAAATGTAAAATGATGAAGTGACTGTGTCAGTGATTTAAAGTATGTCTGCGTGTCTGTTGTCAGCTGACAAAGCCTACCGTGACATGAAGGTGACCAAGAGCAGTCAGTCAATCATCGTCAGTGGTGAGTCAGGTGCCGGCAAGACGGAGTCAACCAAGCATGTCCTCAAGTACCTGACAGAGAGCTGGGGGACACATGCCGGTCCCATAGAGCAGCGGATCCTGGAATGTAAGTCAAACCCTTCCACCAAAGTCAAACCCTTCCACCAAAGTCAAACTCTTCCACCAAAATCAAACCCTTCCACCAAAGTCAAACCCTTCCACCAAAGTCAAACCCTTCCACCAAAGTCAAACCCTTCCACCAAAGTCAAACCCATCCACCAAAGTCAAACCCATCCACCAAAGTCAAACCCATCCACCAAAGTCAAACCCTTCCACCAAAGTCAAACCCTTCCACCAAAGTCAAACCCATCCACCAAAGTCAAACCCATCCACCAAAGTCAAACCCTTCCACCAAAGTCAAACCCTTCCACCAAAGTCAAACCCTTCCACCAAAGTCAAACCCTTCCACCAAAGTCAAACCCTTCCACCAAAGTCAAACCCTTCCACCAAAGTCAAACCCTTCCACCAAAGTCAAACCCTTCCACCAAAGTTAATTCTGTTCCTACAAAAAATTTTAATATTTAAATTAAATTAAACTAAAATATGTTATTTATGAGAGAGGTTCAACTAAAAAAATATTTTGCCTAGTAAGATAATGTATTATAGTTACTAACTGTGTAAATTCTTATAAGGTGTTGGGTTCAGAGGCATGCTAAGATTCTATACTGTATGCTTTCAGCAAATCCACTGCTTGAAGCTTTTGGAAATGCTAAAACTGTGAGGAACAACAACAGCAGCCGCTTTGGCAAGTTTGTGGAGATTCACTTTGACAACAAGGTCAGACAACTCTTTCAGCTCATTTAGAGTAGCTGGTCTTGGGCGATTCTTTTTTCTGGCACAATTTATTTCTGATGCCTTTGTAGACTAAATCTGTGTTGTTACGGGTCAGTTGTAGGTTAGATAGAAATAGGTTACAATAATCTAGAATTAGGGGAGAGTGCGTGTGTGAGTTGAGTTTACCTTAGAGTATTGTTAACCCCGGTGTGTTTATGTATTGTTATCCCAAGGTCGAATGCGATATAAAAGCTGGAGTGAATGATTGTCAGGGATTAGTTGCTAGCGATTAGGACGAGGGCTAGTCTTGAATGTATATATTTGAGACGGAATAAAAGTAGTGAATGTAGTCACGAAGAGTTGTTATTTATCTGAAACTAACCTGGACGTAACATGTATAGATAATTGGTATAATTACAATCCTCTGCTGCTAAAGGAAGTAGAAAACTGGTGGTTAAGTTAAACCTCTTCTGCTTTCAGAATTCTGTGTGTGGCGGGTTCATCTCCCATTATTTGCTTGAGAAGAGCCGTATTTGTACGCAGTCCTCAGAGGAGCGCAACTACCACATCTTCTACAGGCTGTGTGCAGGTTCACCTGAAGACCTGCGGCAGAAATTCAAGCTTGGGGCACCTGACCAGTACCAGGTAAAAGTCTGGCATAAGTCAGGCCTCATTACTTTGGGATTTCCTTCACTTTAGGCACTTAGTTAAATTTAAAATACAACTGAAAAGCACTGCTTTTTTTTTCAATTTGTCCACCTTAGATTTTTCATTCTAGCTTTCAATAGTTCTTGAATAATCTGGTAAATAAATATAACAGTTCTAGGTTTTGTAAAAATTTGAAGGTTGACTTTATTTTATGACTTTTGGCTGATAAATTAGATTTTCTTGACTTTATTTTATGACTTTATAACAGATATGTTAGGTTTTCTTTATACGCACATTTATTTGAATATTTTTTTTGGTTGACATTATTTATTGGCTTTAGTTGTTTTGGTTGAACTTGCTTTTTATGTTTTCTTGTAAAATTATCAAATAATTCTTTATACTTTGTTTGTTTCATATATTTTTGACTTAGTACATAAAGCAGAACGCATTTTATTAAGTTCAGTGTTTGTTTTGAAATAATTTGTTGGTTTTTATGGCAATAACTGTTTATCAGTACCAGATATCTAAGAATAAATGTAGAGTTTCTAGGAGCAAAGTCGAAGCCAAATTTTTCTTTGTGCACTGAAGATTTACATTTGTAGTTTTGCCTGTTAACAATGGTGCTAATGCCCTTTAACTTAAATTATTAAATGTGTTTATTTATTTTAATCTTTTAAAAATTTAAAACCAAATATTTTTTAAAGCGTGTATTGATAAACAATGTTTTGAAAAGTAAAATTATTGACGTTCGACCTAGGGATATCATAACTAAATACACTTTTAAAATTTTATTTCAGTTACAATTATATTAACAATTTAATTAAGTTAAGCATAATTGCTTTTAAAGTTTTTAAAAAAAGTTTAAAATTTTTTTTTAAAATAAATTCAATGTGTAGCAAAAAATCCAAGTAGATAAACAGTGGTTTTTGTTCAGTAGAATTTTTATTCTTTAATCTCTGAAGAATAAATGAGTTTTTATTCTTTAATCCCTGTTGAAGAAATGAATTTTTATTTAGTCACAAGCTGATTGTATCCTGTCCTCATATAACCATGCGGGTAGATTGCATGCCTCTATAACATAAGAGAAACTTTTTGATGTTGTGTTAGTGTGATGTTTATACTTGATGTATCATAGTACTTGAAAAGAGGGAACACTCAGTACTTTTGCAACCGCAAGTCAGAAAAGAATATGAGTGACAACAGGAAGAGTCAACAGGTGAGTACATACAACTTTTTATCTCAACATCTCCCGAGTTTACATACAACTTTTTATTTCAACATCTCCCAACTGAGTTTACATACAACTTTTTATTTCAACATCTCCCAACTGAGTTTACATACAACTTTTTATTTCAACATCTCCCAACTGAGTTTACATACAACTTTTTATTTCAACATCTCCCAACTGAGTTTACATACAACTTTTTATTTCAACATCTCCCAACTGAGTTTACATACAACTTTTTATTTCAACATCTCCCGAGTTTACATACAACTTTTTATCTCAACATCTCCAGAGTTTACATACAACTTTTTATTTCAACATCTCCCGAGTTTACATACAACTTTTTATGTCAACATCTCCCAACTGAGTTTACATACAACTTTTTATCTCATCTCCCGAGTTTACATACAACTTTGTATCTCAACATCTCCCAACTGAGTTTACATACAACTTTTTATCTCAACATCTCCCGAGTTTACATACAACTTTTTATCTCAACATCTCCCAACTGAGTTTACATACAACTTTTTATCTCAACATCTCCAGAGTTTACATACAACTTTTTATCTCAACATCTCCCACTGAGTTTACGTACAACTTTTTATCTCAACATCTCCCAACTGAGTTTACATACAACTTTTTATCTCAACATCTCCCGAGTTAACATACAACTTTTTATCTCAACATCTCCAGAGTTTACATACAACTTTTTATCTCAACATCTCCAGAGTTTACATACAACTTTTTATCTCAACATCTCCCGAGTTAACATACAACTTTTTATCTCAACATCTCCAGAGTTTACATACAACTTTTTATTTCAACATCTCCCGAGTTTACATACAACTTTTTATGTCAACATCTCCCAACTGAGTTTACATACAACTTTTTATCTCAACATCTCCCGAGTTTACATACAACTTTGTCACATTATGTTCACAATAACCGTATTTACATAACATACCATTTTTTAACATCATCATATTTAACAATAACCTAATCTACATACAGTTTTAAATTGCAACATAATGCAAATTTACATAAACATAACATTTGTTAAACACTTAATACATTTACATTTCTAATTGTTCAACATAAACTAAATTTTTATCTGATTTTTTCATCAAAGTGGGACTTTTTATTACAGCTTACAATTACCATTTCTTATTGAGGTGTCATTAATAATTAGGCAGTATACCTAGGCATATGTTAGTGCAGAAAAAAAAAACAATAGGTATTGGTGTTAGCTTGCTGGTTTCTTGCCTAGTGCTTTGCTTTATACACACATACAATGATAAATATCGTCCTCCATTTTGTGTTCTAGATTGTAATTGTTTATCTCTCTCTGAAATCAATTTTAGCTAATTTTTCTCTTACTATCATAGTAAAATAATAAACTGGCGTTTCATTTTTAAATCAGATAATTTTTATTTTGTTAACACGCCAAATTGTTGATACAATTTAAAGTTATTCTATTTTACTTAATCTTAAAATTTAGATTAAAATGTGAAAATTAAAGATCTAAAAAATAGTTTCTTGGAAGATTTCAGTCACAATTTATTTTACTAAAACATTATAACAATAAAAGAATATTTCAAATATGTTGATTTGTTATGAATGTCACATTGCGATTCCATTTGTCTTTAAATGTTCTCAGAATGAATCCTAGGGGTAAGAAGGTGTATATTTTAGTCTTATAACTTAAATACATATCCTTATTATTTGTTAAAGTAATAAGATTTTATTTCACTCACTGTAAATTTGATCAGAACAAGTTGGCTAGTCTATGTATGTGGTTCTGCCCTATAACGCTGAAATCTTTCCCACCTGTCAGTACCTGAAACAAGGAAGTCTGAGGGACCCAGTGCTGGACGACATCCAAGACTTCAATGTGTGTGATGCCGCCATGAAGCACCTGGGCTTCAAGGATGAAGAGAGGCTGGGCATCTACGCTCTTGTGGCAGCCATTTTACATCTGGGCAACATTTCTTTTGAGGACAACGCTGATGATGCAAAAGGTTTTTAAATCTTTCAACAAGTTTTGAGTAGCTTTAAAATTGTCTTGTTGTCACATAGCTTATTTCATGAGCTTATGGTTTTTGCAGTTTTTTCATTCAAATTTTCTTGTTAGGTAATTAGATTTTGTTTTAGTACAGATTTTATTGAAAGGTTTTTCTTCTCTTGGCCTTCTAACCAGAGCTAATTATGCAATCCATTTGTGTGTTTATTTTTTTTTTAATCTTGAAGAAATCCTGGTTAAATCTTGCCCATGTGACCTCACCAAAAAACAAATCTGACCTCACCAAAAAACAAATCTGACCTCACCAAAAAACCAAATCTGACCTCACAAAAAACCAAATCTGACCTCACCAAAAACAAATCTGACCTCACAAAAAACCAAATCTGACCTCACCAAAAAACAAATCTGACCTCACCAAAAAACAAATCTGACCTCACCAAAAAACAAATGTGACCTCACCAAAAAACAAATCTGACCTCACCAAAAAACAAATGTGACCTCACAAAAAACAATCTGACCTCACAAAAAACAATCTGACCTCACAAAAAACAAACCTGACCTCACCAAAAAACAATCTGACCTCACAAAAAAACAATCTGACCTCACCAAAAAACAAATCTGACCTCACCAAAAAACAAATCTGACCTCACCAGGTGGCTGCAAGGTGGTGAAAGCAGCTGAAGATTCACTGCAGATGGCTGCGTCACTTCTGTCTGTGGACAAGGATGAACTGAGAGACTCGTTGATCAGCAGGGTCATGCAGGCCACCAGGGGTGGCTCTAAGGGGACGGCTATCAAGTGAGTTACACCAGCAGGTGGCGCTCTAAGTCATACTTTGATGAGAATGTTTACCTTGTACAGGGTCCCCCTAAAATGTTACCCTAAAGTTTAGCCTAATGTTTACCTTGTACATGGTGCCCTTGAAAATATGACACTGGTTGCCTTGTGCAGGGTCCCCCTGAAAATATCCTAATGTTTACAGGGTGACCTTGAAAATATGAGCCTAATGTTTACCTTGTACAGTTTGATCTTGAAAATATGACCCTAATGTTTACCTTGTACAGGGTGACCTTGAAAATGTTACCCTAATGTTTACCTTGTACAGGGTCCCCCTGAAAATGTTACCCTAATGTTTACCTTGTACAGGGTCCCCCTGAAAATGTTACCCTAATGTTTACCTTGTACGTGGTGACTTTGAAAATTTTACCCTAATGTTTACCTTGTACAGGGTCCCCCTGAAGACCTCTGAAGCCTCCAATGCTAGAGATGCTTTAGCCAAGGCTGTCTACTCGCGTATGTTCGACTACATCGTTGATATGGTCAACAAGGCCATCCCATTTGGTACCTCTGTTAGCTACATCGGTGTGTTGGACATTGCTGGATTTGGTGAGTCTTTAAGCCATCTTTCATCTCCTCATTTTTAATAACATTGTATAACATCTATGGGTATATTAATAAATCAGACCACTGATAAAAATAAACTCCTTTTAATTATTGCTTGACAGAATATTTCCAAGTGAACAGTTTTGAGCAGTTTTGTATCAACTACTGTAATGAAAAGTTGCAACAGTTCTTCAACGACAGAATCCTAAAAGAAGTAAGTCTAGTAGATGCCTGCTGCTAGCATAACAAATCAATTTGCTGTAATGTAGGTCAGTAATGTAGGTCAGACTTCTGACCCGAATATCATCTGAAATATTTAAGTTACATATGTGTCTTTCTCTGATCAGGAGCAACAACTCTATGACAAGGAAGGCTTGAATGTGAAGAAGATTGAGTGGACAGACAACCAGGATTGTATCGAGCTGATTGAGGCCAAGGGCTGCGGCATCTTTGACCTGCTGGATGAGGAGAGCAAGCTGCCCACACCCAAGTATGACCACTTCACCAGCGAAGTCCACTCCCGCAACAAGGATCACTTCAGGCTCAGTGTACGTTTGTATGCTGCTCATTTCGCAGGTTGAGACGGACAAGTATAGTATGTCATCAACATGTTATGTAATCCAAATTTATTCCTTGAATGTCTCAGGTTCCAAGAAAATCCAAGCTCAAATTCCACAGAGATGTTCGAGACACAGAGGGATTTTTGATTCGCCATTTTGCTGGGGCTGTTTGCTATCACACTGTAAGTTTACTATTTGGTTTCTACCCACCTGTAGTAATAACCCACACCTGTGTAGCCCACCGGTCACCATAACCCACTGACCACCATAACCCACATGTACAACCTACCTATAGCTATAATCTACAACAGGAAAACCTACCTAGCCAAAATCCTCCAACCTACCAACCTCTAAAACCTACCTGTAGCTATTAAAACTTGTAAAATTTACCTGTAGCTAAAATCTACCTGTAAAACCCAGCTGTAGGTGTAACTCCCCTCCAACCTTTAACCCCCCTAACCTATAACACCCACTGCTCCCCACAGACCCAGTTTATTGAGAAGAACAACGACGCCCTGCATGCGTCCCTGGAGTTCCTGATCCAAGATACCAAGAACCCCCTGCTCAAGAAGCTCTTCCAGGACACGGAGTCTACAGCAGGCAAGCTCAACTTCATCAGTGTGGGCTCCAAGTTCAGGAAACAGCTGTCTATCCTCATGGAGAAGCTCAAAACTACAGTAAGAGCTTAGTTTTTGGACTAGCAAAACTACAGTAAGAGCTTAGTTTTTGGACTAGCAAAACTACAGTAAGAGCTTAGTTTTTGGACTAGCAAAACTACAGTAAGAGTTTAGTTTTTGGACTAGAGCAGGAGCTTAGCATGTCAACAGATACTTATGGTATATTGGAATTTGTACCATTTTAATTATTTTAGATTTATTTTAAAAATTTTAATGCCTTTCTTTTTTGTACAATTTGATATTATTTCTATATGGTCAGTACCAGATGCATGTGAATAGGTCACTGAAGTGTTGTAAGTTTAAGATAGTTCCGTTCTCTGATAAATGACATTCATGATATTTCAAATTGTGTTTTCCCCTAGGGCACCAACTTCATCCGTTGTATTAAGCCTAATGCTAAAATGGTTGACCACATGTTTGAAGGGTCAAACATTCTCAGCCAGCTCCAATGTGCAGGTCAGTTGATTCACATTCAGCTCATTTTTATTACCTAAATATTAAATGTTTAAATTACGTACTAATTACCTCATACATTCTAAACATTTTAATTGCCTTCTACATTTTTAAAATTTAAATATCTCCTTTGCTTAAAATTTATTTTCAAAACATCTCTTACACTTCAAAATTCACTTTCTGGCCTTCAAATGTCCAAAAAAAATGAAAGTCTAATAATTATAATCAACAAAACTTAATGAACTGCGAATTCATCCATACAATACACTTATTCTATTTAATAACTCATCAATTCCTTATTAGTGAAAAATTAAATCTAAACCGAACCTACTAACCATATGTGCTAGACCTACTTGTTGGTGTAATCCTAACCTTTAACCCATGCACTCTGACACTCTGTATTACCTGCTTGTTGGTGTCAACCTAACCTTTAACCTTTGCACTCTGACAGGCATGGTGTCAGTGTTGGACCTTATGCAGCAAGGCTACCCCTCGCGTACACAGTTCTCTGAGCTGTACAACATGTACAAGAAGTATCTGCCACCAGAGTTGTCTCGCCTTGACCCACGCCTCTTCTGTAAAGTAAGTTGTTCAAAGTCCACTCCTGTATAGCCTTATACATCATGTTGAGCATGAATCCTAAAGGTCTCTGTCCACTGTTTCAGTCACTGTTGTTCAAAGTCCACTCCTGTATAGCCTTATAGATCACGTTGAGCATGAATCCTAAAGGTCTCTGTCCACTGTTTCAGTCACTGTTGTTCAAAGTCCACTCCTGTATAGCCTTATACATCGGGTTGAGCATGAATCCTAAAGGTCTCTGTCCACTGTTTCAGTCACTGTTGTTCAAAGTCCACTCCTGTATAGCCTTATAGATCACGTTGAGCATGAATCCTAAAGGTCTCTGTCCACTGTTTCAGTCACTGTTGTTCAAAGTCCACTCCTGTATAGCCTTATACATCGCGTTGAGCATGAATCCTAAAGGCCTCTGTCCACTGTTTCAGTCACTGTTCAAGGCTCTGGGCCTGGACGAGAAGGACTTCAAGTTTGGGCTGACCAAGGTTTTCTTCCGTCCTGGCAAGTTTGCTGAGTTTGACCAGATCATGAAGAGTGACCCAGAGAACCTGGCTGAGTTGGTCAAGAAGGTCAAGAAGTGGCTGCTCCAGTCCCGCTGGAAGAAGGCCCAGTGGTGCACCCTGTCAGTCATTAAATGTGAGAACCCCTGTAGCCATGGCCTAGAAAAAATGACTCTTACTTTGTTTTTAACTAGTTTAAAATTTCCAATCATTAAAATGTTACTTTAAATATTTTTTAAAATTTTCAGTAAAAAATAAGATCCGCTATCGTGCCACCAAGTTCATTATGATTCAGGCCCATGTGAGGATGTGGAGATGTGCCAGAAAGTTCAAACCTAAGTAAATATTTTGTTTGTTCTTATCAACATTCAGCTCTACATTTCTAAAGTCAGTGTTTAGGGTGTGTGGGTTTACACTGGTTCATTATTTTATCTCTCCCAATCAGAAAGTGTTTAGGGTGTGTGGGTTTACACTGGTTCATTATTTTATCTCTCCCAATCAGAAAGTCAGTGATTAGGTTGAGTGTGTTTACACTGGTTCATTATTTTATCTCTCCCAATCAGAAAGTCAGTGTTTAGGGTGTGTGGGTTTACACTGGTTCATTATTTTATCTCTCCCAATCAGAAAGTCAGTGTTTAGGGTGTGTGGGTTTACACTGGTTCATTATTTTATCTCTCCCAATCAGAAAGTCAGTGTTTAGGGTGTGTGGGTTTACACTGGTTCATTATTTTATCTCTCCCAATCAGAAAGTCAGTGTTTAGGGTGTGTGGGTTTACACTGGTTCATTATTTTATCTCTCCCAATCAGAAAGTCAGTGTTTAGGGTGTGTGGGTTTACACTGGTTCATTATCTCACCCAATCAGATATGAGACCATCCAGAAAGTGAAGTCGTTCCAAGCTCAGCGCACATTGATGGACCAGATTGTGTCCCAGCTGAAGAAAGAAAAAGAGCAGTGGATGAAGGCAGTCAAGGAGGTGGAGAACAGCCAGGAGGACTTCATCAAGAAGATTAGGGTTAGTTCTCTCCCTTGGTGGTGGAGCTCTTTATGGTGATACTCTAATGGGTTAGTTCTCTCCCTTGGTGGTGGAGCTCTTTTATGGTGATACTCTAATGGATTTGTTCTCTCCCTTGGTGGTTGATACTCTAATGGATTTGTTCTCTCCCTTGGTGATGGGGCTATGAATATTTTATGACCAGAATTAATTTTTTCCTGTTAGTTTTAGTACCTATACAGCTAAATGACTCATATCTTTCCTCACCTTATTTAACCTACACATTACATACACTAAATAATGGTAATTGAATGCCCTTAGCACTAAAATAAATTTTTAGAATTTTTTATTTGAAAAAGAAAATAATCTCAGTTTTAATGAGTAACCTATCATAGAAATGATACATATTTTTAGTTTTAGTTGATAGATAACAAAAGTATTTCAGTTTTCTACAAAAATCACATTCCAGATTAGTATAAAAATAAATATTTTTAGTCAATTATTCTATGTTAAGACAAGTGAAACAGGGTTTTGCAGGTTTAATAAAAATTCTCTGTTTTGTATGTAGTTTATTCTAAAATAAAATTACAAAATCAAGTATTCGAATATAATATTGAATAAAAAAAAGCATCAATCCTGTTTTAAAGCTTTGATCCTATTCCCCTTATCTATTGCTCATTATAAACATGTCTGCTATCGATGTCTTTCAGACGACTGATATGAAGCGTGAAGAAATGACCCGGATGACCAACACTCTGGCAGCAAACATGGATTCTCTTCTCAAAGACTTGACCAAGAAACTTGAGGAGCAGAAGAACAAGGAGGAGCAGGAGAGGCTTAGGAAAATACAGGTAAAGTACCTCAACACACCTGGGTAGGTAGGAAAATACAGGTAAAGTGCCTCAACACACCTGGGTAGATAGGAAATACAGGTAAAGTACCTCAACACACCTGGGTAGATAGGAAAATACAGGTAAAGTACCTCAACACACCTGGGTAGGTAGGAAAATACAGGTAAAGTGCCTCAACACACCTGGGTAGGTAGGAAAATACAGGTAAAGTACCTCAACACACCTGGATAGGTAGGAAAATACAGGTAAAGTACCTCAGCACACCTGGGTAGATAGGAAATACAGGTAAAGTACCTCAACACACCTGGGTAGATAGTAAAATACAGGTAAAGTACCTCAACACACCTGGGTAGATAGGAAAATACAGGTAAAGCTCCTCAACACACCTGGATAGATAGGAAAATACAGGTAAAGTACCTCAACACACCTGGGTAGATAGGAAAATACAGGTAAAGTACCTCAACACACCTGGGTAGATAGGAAAATACAGGTAAAGCTCCTCAACACACCTGGGTAGATAGGAAAATACAGGTAAAGTACCTCAACACACCTGGATAGATAGGAAAATACAGGTCATCTACGGCAGCACATTTTCAATTTTAAATATTTTTTTTGTGGGTGTATAATTACAGCTTGGGATTTAAAGGGTTGGAGATGACTTATCTATGCTGAATTATATATTTTGATTAAAAAGGTTAGAAATCAGTAATCAATGTTGAATTACAGATTTGGCTTGCAATGACATATTTGGATTGCAATGACAGATTTAATGCTAACTTACTTTTAGGAACAACTGGAACTGGAGCGCAAGCAAAGAGAAGAAGAAGAAAGAAAGCGTAAAGAGGAGGAAGAACAGAGGAAGTTGTAAGTGCCTTGGGTAGCCATGTTGTTACTTTATGCAGCAGCCAGTAGATTACTGTATACATTTAGTTACTTCATCTTGTCCGTGTTGACAGTTTAAATTAGTTTAATCACTTCTTTTTTGTTTGAGTAGTTTACTACTTTCCTTACAAATCTTGAAATGCTCCTAATCTCCCCCATGAATGTTTCCTCCCACGTATCAGGAAAGCTGATCTGGAGAGGAAGAGGCAGAAAGAAGAGGAAGCCAGGAAGAAACAAGAGGCTGAGGACAAGAAAGCTGCGGTAAGGGGGTGCTAACAAGACGCTCAAGGAAATCTTTTTTTTAATAGAAGATTCTAGAAAAATATGGTGTCTAGAAAATTAATTTAGAATAAAAAATTTTAAATTAACCTAAAATTTGATTGTTCTCTATTTTTTATACAGGAGGCGTTACAGAAACAGCTCAATGAGCAAGCTAAAGAGAATGCACAGAGGTAAGGAAGTTTGAATAAAAGTTTAGTTTCATGACAGAAAAACGTTTATTAAAAATTTACCTGATTTTAGTAATGGATTTCTCTACAAGAATTTTAAAATGATGCTAATTGATCTAGTTAACATATGAAACAGTTTTCTCATAAGCACTTTTCACTTGGCAAATAAAACAACAAAACAACCTGTGTTTTATCAATGCTTGCTATCTTGGTGTAAAGTGAGAAGTTCTAACAGCTTTAACCTTAACTAGTTATTAACACAGTTGTAACAGACAAACCACCCATAACTAGTTGATATTAACCCAGTTTTAACCGCAACTAGTTTTAACCTGAACTGGTTATTAACCCATTTTTAACCTTCTATTACAGACAGGCCGCCCTGAACCAGGAACACAGGGACAGGGAGCTTGCCCTACGTCTGGCCATGGAGGACCAGAGTGCTGTAGAAGATATTATCCTGCCACCCCCCTTGCCACGGTAGTTCAACTATTAGTTGTGTTTCAACAGTGTGTAACCCTTCATTGGGATGAGACTTGAACTAGATTTAGTGTTCTAAGTGCCCATGTAGACTTTTATTTCATGCTTGTTTTGTAAAGCATTGTAGAATAGCTAAATGAAGCTTCTTTCTCATTGAACTGATCAGTACCATACTAGGCCAGTTATTGTAAACAAATGAGTGTTGGTGGTCAATTTTCTGAGGCTAACATACAAGATTTAACTGTATGTGTTGGTGGTCAATTTTCTGAGGCTAACATACAAGATTTAACTGTATGTGTTGGTGGTCAATTTTCTGAGGCTAACATACAAGATTTAACTGTATGTGTTGGTGGTCAATTTTCTGAGGCTAACATACAAGATTTAACTGTATGTGTTGGTGGTCAATTTTCTGAGGCTAACATACAAGATTTAACTGTATGTGTTGGTGGTCAATTTTCTGAGGCTAACATACAAGATTTAACTGTATGAATTTTGGTCCCCTCCCCTAGCGCTGCCTCAGTTGTTGCCGCACAGAAAGCTGCTGCGTCTAAGAAGTACGACCTGACCAAGTGGAAGTATGCTGAGCTACGTGATGCCATCAACACATCTTGTGGTGAGTTGAACCCCGTATAGTCTTATGTCTTGTGGTCTTGCCCACTGTAGTTGCACCAACTGTTTACATGAACTCAGTTAAAGTCAGCTTAAAGTTATACCTAGTCTCACATGATGTAAGAATCCAGTTAAAGTCAGCTTATACCTCGTCCCCTCTGACAGATCTGGAGCTCTTGGACGCTTGTCGTGAAGAGTTCCACCGCCGCTTGAAAGTCTACCACGCATGGAAGACGAAAAACAAGAAGAGGACAGACAAGAAGGAGCAGCACGCTCCCAACTCTGTTGAGGCCAATGGTCAGTCACAAGTGCTCATGTTTTATATCTGACATCCATCTTTCTAGCACTAAACTTTCTTTTTATTTCTGACATCAATTTTTCTATAGCTAAACTTTCTTTTTATTTCATTCATCAATGTTTCTATAGCTAAACTTTCTTTTTATTTCTAACATCCATGTTTCTATAGCTAAACTTTCATTTTATTTCTGACATCCTTGTTTCTATAGCTAAACTTTCTTTTTATTTCTGACATTCATCATTCTATTGCTAAACTTTCTTCTTATTAAATTTTCTCCTAATCTGATTCTTCAGTGATGTTAAAGCAGTTCAAATTAAGCCAATTAGCAAACAAACACTGGGTGAATTTGTTTTGAAATTAAATCTATACACTATACTACATGATTGAATAAATAGTTGTTTTCCTCAGCGTTCTAAATCAGATGTTAGTTACAACCATCTAACTTTGTTTTTACAGCTGCATCTCCTGCCCCCCCTACCCGAGGGTCAGCCCCAGCCAACGCCCAGCAGCGCTACTTCAGGATCCCATTTGCTCGTCCCTCAGATGAGTACCGTGAGGAGACCAAACATGGCATGTGGTACGCCCACTTTGATGGCCAGTGGATAGCCAGACAAATGGAGATCTATCCTGACAAGACGCCCATCCTGCTGCTGGCTGGTTAGTTCAGAGTTTAACAAATAATGGCTAGGGGTTAATGAGTTCATCTGAACAATTAACATGACTGTTACAAATACGAATTAGGTCTTGGTCCTCATTCTGCATGTGAGAGGTTGTAGCTACCACATAAGATAGCTATTGACCTTCAACACACAACCCGCCATAGTTAGATGAAATAATCTGCCAAAGGCATTGTAACAGTCTACAGCTATAATCATGAAAAGACAAGTCTAGTTTTAACATATTCACTTCAGTTTCCCAACCAAGACAAAGTTTCCTATCCTTACAACAACAAGATGAAGACTTGTTACGACATAGAAGCTTTCATAGCGACAATTCATACCACAAGAAATAATCCATTCACCTGCTCAGTCACTACACACAAATCTTTTTCTAAACAAAAAGATCTCCCACCCAAAGACTTGCACTTAGTTCAAATGGCCCTGGCTAAAGATTAGACCAAGCAAAAAATTATTTTAAAAAATCTAATTTTAACAAGACCAGAAATAATTTGAGCCAGAGACATCTGTCTGTTATGCTGGCACCTTATAATTCTGTTCACATCAATATGCTCATTTTTATTGACTGTTTTTATACAAGTTGATTTTGTATTTTTTTACCACAAAATACCACAATTAGAACAGTTGTGTACACTAGCTTGACTTAATGAACCCTCCATGTTGTGAAATCTTCTCTAGGTATTGATGACATGCAGATGTGTGAGCTGTCTATCGAGGAGACAGGGCTGACACTGAAGAAAGGCGCTGAAGTTTTGGAAAATGAATTTGAAGAAGAATGGAACAAACACGGAGGACAGAATGTTCTGAAGGCTAATGCCAAGAAGATCACCTCCAAGTTTCTGCAGAAAAAACTTGGTATAACAAAGTAGATAACTGTTAGCCAGAGAAACTGTTTATTTATAACATTCCATTCAACTAAACATTCCTCTCACAAAACTAATTGTCCTTCTCTCAAGGGGAAGTAAGTAATAGTCCATGGATTTTTTTTTTATTGTCAATTATTATACAAGCTAGCTCAAACGTTTTTAAAAAATCCAGTTTAAACTTAGCAGCACCTAAATAATTAAATTTTTTGTTGACAAATTATAATTAAAGGAATTAAAAGCTAATTTTATTCCACAACACATATTTTAAGGCAAGTAGTTTGTTAAATGAAATAGTTTTTCATGTCCGCTCTATCTGAGATCACATGCTCATCTGATTATAATATCATGTTTTTTATCATGGTAGAATACATCTAGGGTTGTGTTGTATCATTAGTAAAGCTTACAATCATCTGTTATATTTATTGTTCAGTTCAGAGCTCACATACTATACCACAAATCTTGTTTGTCATTCAATGCTGTAGTTTACTAGACTTTTCTCATGCTTTTTATACCTTAAAGACAGACATGTTTTGTTTGATACAAACACATTTACATTTTGGCATAATTGACAATGTGTTCAGTATTGAATATCCCACCACTTTGCCTTCATGGAAATAATTTATGCAAGTAGGCCAAATTATGTTTATTGTTTTGGATCGGGACCAGATTTTTTTAAGTATACAAATTTGCTGTAAAGAAAAAAAAAGGGTAAAAATAGACTGCACCGTGTGAAGTGGGCAGGAACAAAGATGGATGTTGAAGGATTCTTGGCTTTACTAAATAAACGTTGACTCTTTAGGTGCAAGTTTTAAACTATTTTTGTTGTAGCTTGCACAACTGTCTCTTTAAAATTTATTTATTTTAATGTTTAAATTTATTTTTATAATGCCAATTAAGGTTGTTATATTGGATGTTATTTTAAGTGTTGTTTTTACATATGATTAACTCATACAACATGAAAACTGTATAGCAAACAAGCCATTAAAATCGTAAGACAGACTTTAGCGTGATACAACTTCGGGTGATTCAGAATTGTGAGGGCAAGACTGCATCTTTATTTTTCTAGATAAAGCATTACATTTCTTTTGTGAACCTTCATACCAGCTGCCTTCAGCCTGAGTAACATGTAGTTACCCAGGGGAATCTAGTTTAGTTTTTTTTTTTTTTTAAATCTCACTTATTGGTCACATTGTGTTGTAAAGAAACTATTTTTAGATTTGTGTTCCTGTGTAATGGAGTTATCTAACATGTGTTGATGTGATTTATTGTATGCTGCACATGACTGAATACCTTTGCTATTTTTGTATGCTTACATTTTTTTGTAACAAGTAAACAAACTAGCCATCTTGAATGTTTGTATGAACTTAAACATCAGTGTAGTTTAGAATTCATTGAACCACATTGCCAGGACAGCAAATAAAATCTAATCCACCTTTTTTTCTAATTTAGTAAATACCATATATTACATACTTAAATGTTTGCTTTGAATAGATCTATTTTGTAATAATTTATAAAAGTGATGTTTGGGGTATTGTTCTTTTTTATCTAAATAAACAACCACAAGGTTTTATTTGTGATATATTAAAAATAAAGAAATTCTTTTTTTAGATGTAAAATCTATTTTGTGATCATTTATTCATGTTGTACAACACATTCCAGGCTTCAAGAATAAAAAATAAATTGATCTCAGTCCTTGTTTGTGTGTTTTTATATAAAGTTGTTTTAAATAGTCAAAACATGCACCACAATATCAAAGAAGAAACCAACAATTATAATACTATATGTAGAACATATTATGAAAATATCTTAAAAGAGATTCTGATAAAATCAAAGATAAAAAAAAGACCAAACCTTGAAAAACATTCATAATTTCCTGTTGTAAATTTTTAAAGCTTTAAATAAGAAAAGGTGATTTGTAATTGTAAACTAATATCACCTTTCTTTCATTTGAAGCATGACATAAAAATGGATAAAATCATATCATTTTAATGCAAAAATATCAGTACAAATCCATTAATCCCTTACATAATGGGTTCCCCTCTTTCTTCCTTTCATGCCATAAAAAAATATTTTATTCCACTGTAATGAAAATCTGATTGGTCGATATAAAATAGATGAGTGGTCAAGTGTAGATCTAACTGATCTGCAAGTTCTCCACACACAAGGCGATCCCCATCCCTCCCCCAACACACAAGGCTGCCACCCCCCTTTTTTTGTTTTGAGCTTGCAGAGCGTACAGTAAAGTGGTCAAGATTCTGGCACCTGATGCACCTATTGGGTGACCCAGGGCTATTGCACCTCCGTTTACATTCACCTGCAAGGGAAATCAATAAAGGATCCTGAGACTAACCAATACAAAGCACAACATGATACTGTAAGTTATTTTAAATGTACAAACCAAACAAGTCTGGGCAAAGCTGTGAAATAATAACACCCTGCCATGCATATTTACCTTATCAACATCACATCCCAATTCCTTCACCACTGCTAATGATTGAGCAGCAAATGCCTCATTGAGTTCAAACAGGTCAACATCTGCTATCTGCCATCCAGCACTCTCCAGCTAGAGAAGTTAAATAAAATATGAAGAAATACTGCATAGTAAGGTTGCTGTTTACTCTAATGAAAAACTGATTTGTTGAGAAAGTTAATTGGTAACATTAAATATTGTTCCTGAAAAGGTAATTGCATTTTTTGATAAAGTTGAGAGGACTTACAGCTTTTTTTACTGCTGGCACAGGTCCAGTTCCCATGATAGAGGGGTCAACGCCAGCCTGGGCCCAGGACACTATTCTAGCCATTGGCTTGACCCCTCGACTAGCTGCCACCTCTAGACTGGACAAAACAATGGCAGCCGCCCCGTCATTGATCCCTAGGGAAGAATTACATTTCATCATAAGCAAGGAGACAGCCAAAGGTACTTTAGATTCACTCATCTCAGATTGTAAAGTAAAACCACTAAAAGGTAAAACAAACTTTAGATATTGGAAAACTAAGCACTAATGTTTAAAAGTTTAGAAACTCAACAAAACTTGTAAACAACCTGAAGCATTTCCTGCTGTAACACTCCCAGTGCCATCTTTAACAAAAGCTGGACGAAGTTTTTGGAATGCTTCTAGAGTACACCCCGACCTTGGAAACTCATCTTTTCTTATTTCTTTAGCACCTGTAAGTCAGAAAAAAGAAAAAGTGCTAACAAAGAAGACAATAAAGTAGACACAAGACTAAGTGAGTATCTTTATGTTGTTTACCTTCTCTAGATGTCACAATGACTGGAACTATTTCTTTATCAAAGCTTCCATTTTTTTGTGCAGCCTCACACTTGAGTTGTGAGTTGAGGGAAAAATTGTCCTGCTCCTCTCTGGAGATGTTCCACTGTTTTGCCACATTTTCAGCTAAAAATACAAGTGACAAATGACATTCTCAGCTAAAATACAAGTGACAAATGACATTCTCAGCTAAAATACAAGTGACAAATGACATTCTCAGCTAAAAATACAAGCAACAAATGACATTCTCAGCTAAAAATACAAGCGACAAATGACATGAGAATAAAAGAATACACCTCAATTATTTTTAATGATCCAACCTGTTTCTATATATAGCCTACCTGTAATACCCATGTGATAGTTATTGAAAGCATCAGTCAAACCATCTAGCATCATTGAATCAACCAGACTGGCATCTCCAAACTTTGTTCCGCTTCTTAAATGAATACAATGTGGTGCCTGCAAGATACATTTATTACAAGTCATTTAATAATGCAATATAACAGTTTAGTGGTATAATATAACCCTAGTTCAATATTCTTAATCTATATCCTAGATGTAATCTCAAGGAAGTAAAAGTATTTTGAAGGAAATTTAAACAAATTAATAGTATATGCATTAGTTGACAGCCTTGGCAAAACTGTATCAACACCAGCTGATGGTAGAGCAACACAACACAAAAACTGTATCAACACCAGCTGATGGTAGAGCAACACAACACAAAAACTGTATCAACACCAGCTGATGGTACAGCAACACAACACAAAAACTGTATCAACACCAGCTGATGGTAGAGCAACACAACACAAAAACTGTATCAACACCAGCTGATGGCACAGCAACACAACACAAAAACTGTATCAACACCAGCTGATGGTAGAGCAACACAACACAAAAACTGTATCAACACCAGCTGATGGTAGAGCAACACAACACAAAAACTGTATCAACACCAGCTGATGGTACAGCAACACAACACAAAAACTGTATCAACACCAGCTGATGGTAGAGCAACACAACACAAAAACTGTATCAACACCAGCTGATGGTAGAGCAACACAACACAAAAACTGTATCAACACCAGCTGATGGTACAGCAACACAACACAAAAACTGTATCAACACCAGCTGATGGTAGAGCAACACAACACAAAAACTGTATCAACACCAGCTGATGGTAGAGCAACACAACACAAAAACTGTATCAACACCAGCTGATGGTACAGCAACACAACACAAAAACTGTATCAACACCAGCTGATGGTACAGCAACACAACACAAAAACTGTATCAACACCAGCTGATGGTACAGTAATACAACACAAAAACTGTATCAACACCAGCTGATGGTACACAACACAAAAACTGTATCAACACCAGCTGATAGTACAGCAATACAACACAAAAACTGTATCAACACCAGCTGATGGTACAGCAACACAACGCAATGCCCTTACCTTACTCATGCTCTCCTGCCCACCTGCCACAACAATGGTGGCGTCACCTGTTTTGATTGCTTGACTGGCTAAAACAACAGACCTCAGCCCTGACCCACACAACATATTAACCCCACATGCAGGAACACTGAATGGAATGCCAGCCTTCACTGCAGCCTGACGAGCTGGGTTCTGACCTTGACCTAGGCAAAAACAAATGCTTTCATTTTTACAAGTGTGAAATACTTAAAATATTTACAAACCATCACTGAAATTCTGTCACAGTTTTCAGTTGGAGAAAAAAAAAGAGAAGATTTTACCTCCAGTCAAAACTTGACCCAGGATGACCTCTGACACTTCATCTCCTTTGATGCCGGCTCTGTTCAAGGCCTCTTTTATTGCAATACTACCCAAATCATGAGCCGCAAACACAGATAGTGCTCCATTAAATGAACCTATAAAAATTGATGCAATACTTTTCGATTTAAGAAAAACAAAACTTTACAATTAGGCCAATTTTTTTTCAAATACATAGTGGTGAGTTTGATTTGTTTCTGTTTAATATGTGGTAGGACTGAGACTAGGAGTAAGTAATAATGTAAAAACAAACTCTCCCTAAGCAGACTGTGTAAGCCTACAATGTGACATACCCATTTATGTGAAAGCTGACATTTTTTTTTTTTTTTGCCAAATTCAGCTAATAGATATGTACTTACAATTACTAATTAATAATATCATTGGTATTTATTGCCCCATTGATTTATTCTTTATGATTCCATTACCACGAGCTGACCGCAAGGTAAACACACGCCACTATTTAGTTGTTTTAGTCATTCATAATTTGTGAATTTGATACTACCCCCCTCTCCCACAAAAACATCTGTATGTGGTGACAGTTTAAAGACAACAATGAAAAGATCAAGCAGAACTTCTTACCTCCCCTTAGTTTCAAACTGTTTAAAAACTAAATTATATGCCCCTAATAGCCATCACTAATTTGACCCGGCTCTACGACTACGATTGTAAACATTCTTGGTTAACCACCCACAGCTCACCAGACTGGTGGGGATGGTAGCGAAATGGTCTGTTGAGCATGCCTTGAGAGCAGGAGAGGGGTTGGGAGGAGGGTTAGCTAATAGAATTATAGATAGTCCTCTTGCATCATCTTGCCCATGAAGTGAATTATATAAATATAGATTATTATAAATTATTATAAATTATAATATTAAATATAAATCTAGATCCTGGAACTTAGAAGATCTTTGTAGATTAGATCATTAGATTGAATCTGGTGAGTCTTTTTTTATGTGGGAATAGATTAAAATAGTTAGGCCTAAAATTTAATTTTTAATATTTATTTTAAACTTTTAAAACTAATACTAATATTAAAAAAAAGAGTAATACAATAGAATAGGCCGTGCCATTAGGACGTGATTAGGTCTAGGCAGTGGTCCGTAGATTTTAACCTTTTTGAAGGTACCAAACCCCACCACTAGGACTAGTAGGAGGCTATGCCTTTTAATTTTATTATAAACTTTTATATCCTTTATTTAAATCAGACATTAGATCTAGATTTATGCAGTCTATAATTTAACGCTTAATTTTAAAAGATCTAGATTACAATTACCTATCGGTGTTCTTGCAGCTGACAAGATAACAACTTCAGACATTGTAACTTTCTGTTTTGAATAAGAAAATAAACACAAATTATAGCAGAACAATCGTACGACAGGATCGGTGAAAACTACCGAAGTAATTTGATTGGATATATTTCATGACACGATTTTTAGTAGGCATGCGTAGTGACCAGGAAAGAAATTCGAGTAGGGGAGACTGCTCAAACTTCGACCGATTCGTTTTCGTCCGGTCCGTAGGTTCGCTTCTCTTCGTTATAACTCGTAAGCTAATCAACATAGCGGTTTCATTTTTTCACTATTAAAAACGTTATCATTTGCTGATTGGTTCAGTATAAATAGTTAACCAATCACAACGGAGAATATAAATGCTATATGCAAGGCTAGACACTGACCCCACTTCGTTCTGTTTGGTTTTAACTTCGACCGGGTTGCTCTAACTTCGACCAGCGGCTTGCTCTAACTTCGACCGCTATAAGCCTATATATACATTATTGTTTTATTCATATGGGAAAAGGCCTAAAATTGTAAATAGATTAGGGCATTATAATAAACAATATGCAGATCTATGTTATGGTACAAATGATATTTAATTTGTAGAAAAATGGAGACGCAATAATGATATTTAAACCAGCTGGAGATGGGACAGAAAGGGCAGGATGGGGACATAGATCGTTAGGTCCTTCAATAATTATGTCATCTTGTGTTGTTTTCAGTTATATTTAAGTATAATGAAAAAGAAATGCTCAGCTGATTAAATTATTTAATAAAACTATAGATAAACGTGATAGTACATGCAAAGTTATGTTTTAGGGTCAAGTTTTTCAGTCGGTCGAAGTTAGAACTATGCCAATTTCAAGTGGTTTTAACTTCGACCGATTTGTTTTTCAAATTTATTTTTTACATTTTTGTTTAAATTAAAAAAATAAAAATACACACATATAGGACTGCCTTTTTTACAAACGCTTTTTTAATTTTTTAAATTTTATTGTATGAATTAATTGTATTTTGAGCATTGTGAAGCACGACACTCCTAAGACAGCAAAATCTCAATTCGTGATTTTCACGTGATAAAATTCACTGACGAGTTGTGCCTTATATTTGCCGATCAGAAGCGCAGAAACGGTTAAAAATAGACATGACCTTAAAAAAAGAAAATCCCCCACAATTCAGATATGTTACTAAATATATAATTTATTTTGTCCAATGGCAATTATTAAATTTTTAATAATTTTTTTTCTGACCATACTAAGAAATCGGTCGAAGTTAGAACCCGGTCGAAGTTAGAGCAGTCTCCCCTACACTTTATACTTTTTTTTTAAACTTAAAAATAAATGAGCCCCATTTTGAAAAGAAAGCGAAACAACAATCGGGAATTCTAATATTTATTATGCTAGAATGGTGGTCGATCAATACAAGCATTAGAAGTGAGCGACATCTGATGGTAGGATGTATTGTCGTCCGAAATTCATGGGCGAAAGATGTCAGTAATGCATTGACGAAGGTTTAGCTTATAGTTTATCGTGCAAATTGTGTGTCAATTAAATAGTACTTCGACACATCTCGCAGGCCGAGGTAAGTAACTTGTGTGTTAAATTAATTTAAATGAAAATCAATTTTTGTAGTTAAGGGCGCATTTTAAAACACATTGTTTTCTTGAAGTAAGCACATGAAAAACAATACACTCGATATTAGATTGCATGATCTATTGTTTCCTTATTGTAATATCATTAGAAATAATTTGTAAATTGTAATATTAGATGATAATTCAATAATAAGTAACAGCTAATATAATTTGTGAGACTAATTAACTTACAAAAACCATATAGATCTAGATCTAGATTTAGCCCAATCTTTTCATCCAGGTTCTCACGAGATGGTGAAAATTAGCTTAGCCTGGGTAAATCCTAGTGGCCGAATGTGTTATCGATTTTACCTTGTGGTGTCCCTAATATCATAGGAAACAATAGCAGGCTATTTGTGATCGAATCTTCATCATTGCTGCATATTGTAATCAAACGTAGATTGTCGCGTCTAGATCTGTATGTCGTGTACCCAATATTGATTGGTTACATGAAAGATAAACATTGAGAGACACAATACTTGACCGAATTAAGCTGTGTCTGGATGACTGGAATAATTTGGGACTGTGGTTATAGTTTTAAACCATTTCTTCACAGATCTATGCATGGTTGTTGTTGTTTTTACCTATATGACAGCAGAGGCTGAGTATTATATCTGAGACAATCTGAATATTATCTGAGACACTCTGAGTATTATATCTGAGACAATCTGAGTATTATCTGAGACACTCTGAGTATTATCTGAGACACTCTGAGTATTATATCTGAGACAATCTGAGTATTATATCTGAGACAATCTGAGTATTATCTGAGACACTCTGAGTATTATATCTGAGACAATCTGAGTATTATCTGAGACAATCTGAGTATTATCTGAGACAATCTGAGTATTATCTGAGATGCATTACTGAATTACACGCCGGCGAGGCTTTGCGGACTTAACAGTTTTCTACATCAGTTGTTTGCAGTGTTTCTCAGAGGCGTAGCGGGGGGGGGGGGGGGGGCAAATGTCCCCGGGCGCCGACCTCAGGGGGCGCCAAAATGGGTTGGAAAAATAAATTGAAAGCTTGAGGGGGGTGCAAATCGAAGTTTTGTCCCCGGGCGCCGCGAGAGGTCGCTACGCCTCTGTTGTTTCTGACAAGTATCTCTACTGCCCCCCCCCCCCTTTCTCGAACAAAATATAATTTATATAGAAAATATATACTATCACCAGTGTCCGCCCGACCCTCCACAAGAGAAGCGGAGAACAAAGTCTGAAAGAAACACACTGGTTGTGTGACTCCAAAAAAAAGTGGTCAGACACAATGTCAGTGATTGTGTTGTCTGCAGACTGTCAGTGATTGTGTGGTCAGCACAATGTCAGTGATTGTATGGTCAGTACAATGTCGGTGATTGTGTGGTCAGTACAATGTCAGCGATTGTATGGTCAGTACAATGTCAGTAATCTGGTCCATACCGCACACAAGGCCACAATAACTTGCATCTGATCTAAAAATTTCTGCTTTCTCTACAAGAGAAAAGATGCGTTTTTCTATTTTTGTATTATTGAACACCGAAGACAAATCTTCGATTTTTACTTTTCATAACAAAAATAATCCTTGTATACATATTAAAAGATTTTCTGTGCTTGCCGTCATAAAGTGTTTGAATAAAAACAGTAGGATGTGGACAGATGGGGCTTAGCTAAACGTGTGTGAGTGATTTTACTTTGTGTGTGTGCGTGTGGTAGCCTGTGAGTGTGTGATTGAGTGACTGTGTTTTGTTTTGGCTGAATTGTTTGCACGATAGAGCCGATTAACTATAAACGATCGATTTGATGAATGAAGAAAGGCTCTGATGACGTCAGCGGCGTTACTTGGAGTCGTGCCAATGTATAGGATCAACTTTTATTTCGCTGGTCTGCTGGTCATATTCTGGCTCGTGCCTCTATTGCTGGCACCCCCCCCCCCCCACCCAAACCCAACCCCCCCCCCCCCCCCCAGCCATCTTCCACCACACCCCCATTAAAGACGCTCGGTCACCAAATCTTCCCTTTCTTCAGCACTCTTCCCCCCTCCCCCACCCCACACTTGGTGATCTGTTATGGCTTATCCCTTTCTCAAAGGACGGCCGTCAAAAACCCGAGTCATTAGATGAAAACGGCGTAGATGTGTTCTGTGGCAACCCTGCTACGATGGGGGATTGAACCCACACCCTTACATGGCACCAGAAACAAACCAGTTGTTTGATACAGCCGCCTGTTGGTTCCCCGTCTCTCCCCGTCTCTCTGGGAGTTTAAACCCACTTCCAGACAACCCAACCCTGTCAAAGTGTACATCCAGATATGTATTAAAACCCCAACACCCCAACCATGTCAAAGTGTACATCTATACATGTATAAAAAACCCAACATCCCAACATACAATTTGAAAGAAAACAACACTTAGCCAAACTTTGCCTCACTGGTTCCCATTTCTATATTTAATCATTTTTCTCCAAAGCAGAACTACGATATAATGCTGCCATATTTAGACTCCCCCCCTCCCCCCCCCCCCCGACAATTCCCATCCTGGCCGTGGACGTCACCGTCTCCATGGCAACATCGATTGACAAGAAGTTTGCTGGAGAGGTCAATATTGCCTAGAAAACACGGCTGGGAGATCCGAGTGAGTCGTGCGTCCATTCAGACCATCCTGGTATATTTCACGTGCACTATTGGGAGGGCTGGTGGTCAAACGGTTTCAAACTTGGTACAAAACTAGTTGGTAAATAAGTTGGTTTAAAGTTTGTTACTAAATTAGTTGGTGGCTAAGTTGGTTTAAAGTTTGGTACAAAACTAGTTGGTGGCTAAGTTGGTTTAAAGTTTGGTACAAAACTAGTTGGTGGCTAAGTTGGTTTAAAGTTTGGTACAAAACTAGTTGGTGGCTAAGTTGGTTTAAAGTTTGGTACATAAACAAATTGGTAAATAAGTTGGTTTAAAGTTTGGTAAAAAACTAGTTGGTGGTTAAGTTGGTATAAAGTCTGGTACAAAACTAGTTGGTGGTTAGGTTGGTTTAAAGTTTGGTACTAGACTAGTTGGTGGCTAAGTTGGTTTAAATTATGGGCGGTATGAAGTATTGACCAATCAGACACAAAGCTTGGTTTAGCGGGTTGGCTGTTTCAATTATTCAGTACATTCGGAAAGAAAACACTGTCATCCTCACGTCAATTGAAACTTTATAATCCAGACCGTCATGTATATTGTGTGATTTACTTGTATGTCGAGTGTTATGGTTTTCTTTACCTGTATGAGTTGAGTGTCCCTGTTGTCACATACATGTTGAGTTTTGTCGTATACTTGCCGTAAACCGACAACATTGATAAATCACATACTGGTGTTTGTACCAAACGACAACAGCACGCCGTCTTACGACTGGTTAATGAAGGCACCTATATTGTGGCATTCAGCACATCAGTACAATATGACACCCTAAACAGGACCCCACTCCAGTATAACATTAGACCCCATAACAGGACCCCACTTCAGTATAACATGAGACCCAAAACAGGACCCCACTTCAGTATAACATGAGACCTTTTTAAAACAGGACCCCATCCCAGTATAACATTAGACCCCATAACATGACCCCACTTCAGTATAACATGAGACCCCATAACAGGACCCCACTTCAGTATAACATTAGACCCCATAACAGGACCCCACTTCAGTATAACATTAGACCCCATATAAGGACCCCACTTCAGTACAACATGAGACCCCATAACAGGACCCCACTCCAGTATAACATTAGACCCCATGAAAAACCCTTGTCCAGTATAACATTATACCCCATAACAGGCCCTCACTCCAGTACAACATGAGACCCCATGAAAGACCCTTGTCCAGTATAATATTCGCCCCATGGAAAAATAAAAGTGCTAAATGTAGGCGATACATTGCTGAAGAATCAGACAATGTGTTGTTTGCAATGTCTGATTGTTCATCGATTGAACTCATTTTACTTCGATCAAACATTTTGTAAACAATTATTTTAATTTTCTCCGCTATTGACGTTTTTATCTTCGCCTTGAACTGACTTTTCAATCAAAACCTGGTTTCCAAATTCACTTCGATTTGCACCAAACGATTTTCTGCGCTAAGTGGCGGGAACTGCACCAAACCTCTACACGAATCAGCAGATGTGAGCGATTGTAATCAAAAACTCACCAACAATCGACGTGTGATACGTTGCTTCTTTCTGCATACACGTTTATCGATTACTTTGTAATCAAAAGGTCAACAAATACCATTATAACGTTATGATGTTGAGTGTTTCTGTAATGTTTTCTTAGCACAACCATCATTTCTTTTTTGGTCTTTTAAACATCCAACACATCCCTGACAGTGATGTTACAACATCCAACACATCACTGATCAAGTTGTCACATTATCCAACACATCTGTGGTATGCGTGCCGAGATATATCATGACATACAACCAGTGTTTCTTCCAGACTTTTTTTCTCCGGGGGGGGGGGGGGGGGGCGGTAGACTTTCTTCAGCGGGGCGGACACTGTAAAAAGTATATATTTGCCATGAAGAAACTCTGCATACAACACATCAGGTATTACATGACAGATCACAATTTAGTCCCCCCCCCTACCCCACCCCCTTATTCATCTAAAATACAACAGTTTTTAAAGCTCCAACGGTCGTCTGACCTCCAGTTGAAGTTCTCAGCCCCACCCCCTGACGGCCCAACAGTTCTCAGCCCCACCCCCTGACGGTAGAACAGTTCTCAGCCCCACCCCTGACGGCCCAACAGTTCTCAGCCCCACCCCCTGACGGTCTAATAGTTCTCAGCCCCACCCCCCTGACGGTCCAATAGTTCTCAGCCCCACCCTCTGACGGTCCAATAGTTCTCAGCCCCACCCCCTGACGGTCCAACAGTTATCAGCCCCACCCCCTGACGGTCCAAAAGTTCTCAGCCCCACCCCTGACGGCCCAACAGTTCTCAGCCCCACCCCCTGACGGTCTAATAATTCTCAGCCCCATCCCCTGACGGTAGAATAGTTCTCAGCCCCACCCCCTGACGGTACAACAGTTATCAGCCCCACCCCCTGACGGTCCAACAGTTCTCAGCCCCATCCCCTGACGGTAGAATAGTTCTCAGCCCCACCCCCTGACGGTAAAACAGTTCTCAGCCCCACCCCCTGACGGTAGAATAGTTCTCAGCCCCATCCCCTGACGGTAGAATAGTTCTCAGCCCCACCCCCTGACGGTAAAACAGTTCTCAGCCCCACCCCCTGACGGTAGAATAGTTCTCAGCCCCACCCCCCTGACGGTCCAACAGTTATCAGCCCCACCCCCTGACGGTAGAATAGTTCTCAGCCCCACCCCCTGACGGTAGAATAGTTCTCAGCCCCACCCCCTGAAGGTCGAATAGTTCTCAGCCCCACCCCCCCTGACGGTACAACAGTTCTCAGCCCCACCCCCTGACGGTAGAATAATTCTCAGCCCCACCCCCTGACGGTAGAATAGTTCTCAGCCCCACCCCCTGACGGTCGAATAGTTCTCAGCCCCACCCCCCCCTGACGGTACAACAGTTCTCAGCCCCACCCCTGACGGCCCAACAGTTCTCAGCCCCACCCCCTGACGGCCCAACAGTTCTCAGCCCCACCCCCTGACGGTCCAACAGTTATCAGCCCCACCCCCTGACGGTAGAATAGTTCTCAGCCCCACCCCCTGACGGTCGAATAGTTCTCAGCCCCACCCCCCCCCCCTGACGGTACAACAGTTCTCAGCCCCACCCCTGACGGCCCAACAGTTCTCAGCCCCACCCCCTGACCGCCCAACAGTTCTCAGCCCCACCCCCTGACGGTCCAACAGTTCTCAGCCCCACCCTCTGACGGTCCAATAGTTCTCAGCCCCACCCCCTGACGGTCCAACAGTTATCAGGCCCACCCCCTGACGGTCCAACAGTTATCAGCCCCACCCCCTAACGATACAATAGCCCCACCCCCGAAGGTCGAATTGTTACCCCCTTCTTGTCGCCTTCTATTTTCGACCCAAATCTTCCAACCCTGTAGCCAGGTTTTATACAAATTAGTCTCTGGTTTTCTTTGATTAAATCGTTCATAGCTGAACTTGAGGTAGCCTCAAGTAAGGGCCATAAGTTGAAGTAACCTCACAGATGTGCCACATTGGCCGATAGGTACACCACAAATATGCCACATTGACTGACAGCCCCGGTACATATCAATAAAGTTTTAGTGCCAGACTGAAGATACAATAGCAGCCCAGATTTCTCGTCTCATAAAGAGCTTTTGTCCCGGGCATTAGCCCAGCTTTTAAGATTAAAACAGAATCTCCGATACAAAAATGTCCTTGTCACCGTGGACGATGTTTTAAAACAGCGCGGAGAATTTTTTTTAAAAACTTGAAACAGATTTTCGAGAAATAAGCGAAAAAGGCCAGGTCTGAAGAAATCGATTTTTGCCCAGATAGGGCAAGGAGACGAACATAAAACCCCAGCTCTGACACTGTGAGCAAAGTTAATTTGGTTCGGAGGCTGAGACATTTTCCTGGCCTGTACTGATGGCTCTAGGTAGAGAAATATTATGGCGCTCTCCTGGCCGAGAGTTAAAATACCAGAGCATTAAGAAAATACCGGAGAGTTAAGAAAATACCGGAGAATTAAGAAAATACCAGAGAGTTATGAAAATAGAGTTAAGAAAAAACCAGGGACTTAAGAAAACACTAGAGTTAAGAAAATGCCTGGGTTTAAGCAAATATTAGTTAGAAGGACACAATTTTAATTTCGAATCAAATAACTAAAAAAAGACGTTTTGGTTTATAAAATTGTACAAAATCTACAAATCTTGCACTGAGTTAAGGACTTTTGGTTTTTTGAAAAGTGCTGTCAAGAACAGACTTAACCACGCTACAATGTGGCTAATTAATTGGTTAATTAGCTGAATAACGAGGACATTCTAGCGCAGCGTTGGTTAACAAATAGCACTAGCATCGTCCAATATTTCCATTGTGTTGGATGGGGGATGACAAAATGTTCATTTAGTGAACTGAACGAGTTAAGGCAGTACAGACAAAAAGAATTTTTATGAAATAATCATATTCATAGCGTTCAGCTGAGCGTCGTTAATACTGTCACTAAAACCTGCAATAAAACTGTCAGATAATTACGTGAAGATTTTATTTCCTCGATCATCGCTGGACAATTGACATGCATCAGATGCAGGTGCTTTCAGGGTTAATTAGACCAGTTTATTATCGTCATTGTAAAACAGACGTTGTTTGAGGGTTAATTAGACCAGTTTATTATCGTCATTGTAAAACAGACAGTCGTTTAAGGGTGAAAGTACACCAGTTTATTATCGTGATTGTATTAGAGACAGTTCTTTGAGGGTCAATTAAACAAGTTTATTATTGTGATTGTAAAGCAGACGTTGTTTGAGGGTTAATTAAACAAGTTTATTATCGTTATTGTATAAGAGACGGTTGTTTGAGGGTGAAAATACACCAGTTTATTATCGTGATTGTATTAGAGACAGTTCTTTGAGGGTCAATTAAACAAGTTTATTATCTTGATTGTAAAAGAGACGGTTGTTTGAGGGTTAACTAGACCAGTTTATAATCATGATTGTATAAGAGACGGTTGTTCAAGGGTTAATTAGACCACATCGAGTGAGCGGACGAGAGGTTAGTCTTTCTATCGACGTCATCTTCCCACAGTGAGCCTCTACTTGAATGGGTTAACTTCAGGTGTCTATTTTTTGCATAATCAACTCAGTGGTTAGCTGTAAATAAAAAAATTTCCCCAATTCTGGGGTGTATCGTTGGGCAGCAGTAGGGCAGCAGTAGGGCAGCAGTAAGGCAGCAGTAAGGCAGCAGTAAGGCAGCAGTAAGGCAGCAGTAAGGTACCTACTGCACCAAGTTGGTATTCTGCTGGTTTACCCTCCTATTCAATCTTCTACCCTAAATCCCCACTACCCGTCATTCTATTTTCTACCCTAAGTCGCCTCACCCTCCCTTTTACTCTTCTTTCTGAATGGTGTACGACTGTGTTGATTCCTGAATGGTACGAACCTTCCTACCTTCTTCACGGAGTTGAGAAACATTGTGTCCTGCTCGGGATGAGAAACTGAGTGATTTGTTGCACATGAAAAAAAAATTCCCGCCCACGAAGTTCTCTTTGTCTCAAGGGAAAACACTATTTTAATGAATCGAAATTGATTAGCATAATTAATTTGACGTGCTTCTCATTGGCGTTTTATTCTATGTGATTTCTGTAGAATTTTATTTGCGCTTCTGCAAGTGAAAATATTTTTGCATCTTTATTATTGCTGCATCTTTATTATTCTGCCACCGCAGCATTACCCTCTCCGCTAGCCTAGTTGTCAGTCCCCCACACCACACCCGCCCACCCAGCGTCCACCGTGCTAACACACGTACTGTCCTTTAGTAGATCGATAGTCCATCTATTGCCTTCTATCTTCTGATACACAACATACTATAGTCCATCTATTGCCTTCTATCTTCTGATACACAACATACGATAGTCCATCTATTGCCTTCTATCTTCTGATACACAACATACGATAGTCCATCTATTGCCTTCTATCTTCTGATACACAACATACGATAGTGCATCTATTGCCTTCTATCTTCTGATACACAACATACGATAGTCCATCTATTGCCTTCTGATACACAACATACGATAGTCCATCTATTGCCTTCTATCTTCTGATACACAACATACGATAGTCCATCTATTGCCTTCTGATACACAACATACGATAGTCCATCTATTGCCTTCTGTCTTCTGATACACAACATACGATAGTCCATCTATTGCCTTCTATCTTCTGATACACAACATACGATAGTCCATCTATTGCCTTCTGATACACAACATACTATAGTCCATCTATTGCCTTCTGTCTTCTGATACACAACATACGATAGTCCATCTATTGCCTTCTGTCTTCTGATACACAACATACGATAGTCCATCTATTGCCTTCTGTCTTCTGATACACGATATGTGTAGTCCAGAATGTGTAGAGTCAGTTTATACTTTACTGCTATAAAACTCGTCAAATTGTACCGAGTTCCATCCCATTTAACTACACTTCGTAACACTAAACTACACTTGAGCTCAACTATCATTTGTTACCCATCTAGGCTAGCACGTTGCAGTTCTTACCGTGCTGGCCTCGCATGTAGCAGCAATGTAAAGTTACACCGCACTGAGGAGTGTCGCATCGGTCACGTGACGCTGCTTGTTGTTCCCCCCCCCCCCTCGCCGAGCTGCTACCCGTGCACGCCGCCCCCGTAGTTCTGGCCGCGTTATCGGCAGACCTGCCCACCCCACCCCAGCGCTATCTCCCTCCATAGTTCTAAGACTGGGACATCCCAGGGAACAACACAGGCTGACGTTATCACAACACATTACTGTCACTGTCATTTCCTCCTCGTGTCTGTGACACTGTCACACTTTCTCCTGTGCCACGGGCCCTCGTGTGCCCCCCCCCCCTCGACCCACGGCTCGGTACCTGTGTCTGGAACCGTGGTGCCAGAGTGTGTCCGCTAGACCTAGCAGTGTATCGATTAGACGAAAGATTTCCCTCGCAGGCCGGAGGACATCGCTACGGTGATGGATTAACTCCCTTATTGTCAGTAGACCAGTCAGTGGCCAGTTGGTCTAGTGATACGTTCTTCTAGTGATACGTTCTTCTAGTGATACGTTCATCTAGTGATACGTTCTTCTAGTGATACGTTCATCTAGTGATACGTTCTTATTTTATTCACCTGGATTCCAAAGTGGTTCGATTACTATAACACGCAGGTAAGTTGAACAACCTGATATCACATTTGTGTTAAATAAATTATTAAACATTCATTTAATGTATCTAGAGTGGTTTTAATTAATGAATAAATGCAAGCCACAATATCACATCAACACCTGCCACAACATCAAAAACCAATACAGGCCACACCATCACATAGCAACACCAGTCACAACATCACACACCAATACAGGCCACAACATCACACACCAATACAGGCCACAACATCACACATCAATACAGGCCACAACATCACACATCAATACAGGCCACAACATCACACATCAATACAAGCCACAACATCACACATCAATACAAGCCACAACATCACACACCAATACAGGCCACAACATCACACATCAACATCTGCCACAACATCACACATCAACACCTGCCACAACATCACACACCAATACAGGCCACAACATCACACATCAACATCTGCCACAACATCACACATCAACACCTGCCACAACATCACACATCATTACAGGCTACAACATCACACATCAATACAAGCCACAACATCACACACCAATACAGGCCACAACATCACACACCAATACAGGCCACAACATCACACATCAACAACAGCCACAACATCACAAACCAATACAAGCCACAACATCACACACCAATACAGGCCACAACATCACACATCAACAACAGCCACGACATCACAAACCAATACAAGCCACAACATCACACATCAATTCAGGCCACAATATCACATATCAATACAGGCCACACCATCACACATCAACAACAGCCACAATATCACACATCAACACCTGCCACAACATCACACATCAATACAAGCCACAATATCACACATCAATACAGGCCACACCATCACACATCAACAACAGCCACAACATCACACACCAATACAGGCCACAACATCACACATCAACAACAGCCACAACATCACACACCAATACAGGCCACAACATCACACATCAATACATGCCACAACATCACACATCAATACATGCCACATCACACACCAATACAAAGCCACTACATAACACATCACTACAGGCCACACCATACATCAATACAGGTCATATAAACATCACATATAACTACACATACTGATCACACATACCAAAATCTCCAATAAACGCCCTATTAGCGCTTCTCAAAAATACTTAAATGTAGTTTTGTCTTAGTGGTATGCATGTATTTTCAGCTTCATCTATCTAAAATACTAATATACATATTGTATATATATATATATATATATATATATATATATATATATATATATATATATATATATATATATATATATATATATATGTATATATATATATATATATATATATATATATATATATATATGTGCTGTATGTGTCTACTATGTATGTGTCTTTGTAGAAAGGTGGTGTTATATTATCAGAAACAGCATACAAACTGTCTACACCACCCATGTCCCGTGTATTTGCTCAAGTCAAGTCTAATATTTTGTCGTTTGATCCCATATTCTTGTTTAAATATTGTAAGGCGTGGTCTAGTTCTTAGTCCACACAAGACACACCACTTAAACCTGTCATAGTCTGCAATTCTTGTCCTTAGTCCTCACAAGATAGATCAATTAAAGTCTGAAACCTAGCGTAGTGTGTGCCAGCCATCGAATCAATGGGTCACCTCATTTTATGACTATATATATATATATATATATATATATATATATATATATATATATATATATATATATATATTCCTTGATCTACTTCATAGCTCTGTGTACCACACAAAAACTGAGCGAACTAACACAAAGTGACTAGAGCTCGAATTAACTTTTTATTAATTTTAAATAAAAAATTTAAAGCACTTTATTGTGAGACGAATGTAAATTGTAAACCTATAAGCAAAAAAGTGTCGGCCATTTTGTTTCTAATTTTCCCTTCACAACATAACTCTAGTTTTGAGAGCGTTTATTTTTCCTTGGTTTGATAGTGTTCTTGTGAGTTAGTTAGCGTTGTTTTTTTATTTGGTTTGATAGCGTTGATGTGAGTTAGTTCGACAGCGTTGTTTCTAACTGATTTGATAGCAGCATTGTTGTGATTTAAAGTGTCGCTATGTTTTAATTTAAGAGCGTTATTTTGAATAATTTTGTCAGCGTTATTGATTTGTTTTGTCAGCGTTATTTTGCTTCTTGTCGCCACTGATTGAAGCAATATATTTGGGGCCGTGTGGGATGTTTGTTTCGTTTTTTTTATTCTTTGTGCATGGAATCGTTATCTACCGTTTTTATGTTTCTCTTGTTTCTTGTACAATAAAGTGGACGTTGCCTTCTCTACAGGACTACTGTTTTGTAAATTCTTCTGTAACAGGGTCGGCGTGGCACTCCCACTGGGGTCGGACTAAATAAATACATTTATAACATTTCTTACAACTGATACGGTACGTGGAAATAAAGTACCACTTCCGGCTATCGGAAATTGCTCAAAAATTGACAGAAGCACACAAATATAAAATCTAATATTTATGAAATTTTGTCGGCATAAATGAAACTGGTCTCAAGTGATCGTGTTCACACAGATAGACAGATACCCAGATAGATAGACAGAAAAGATTGCAAAACAACGTGTTTTTTTCCGACTCATGCAAGTCTAAAATGTTGAGATTTGTCGATTTTATATCTTCAGGATAGAATGAAAAACAGATACCTGTACATTTAAAAGAAAAAACAAAACAAAAACGGAAGACGTTCTTACGCGCCATTTTGATGACGTCACTTGTCTGACGGTGGCCTCTAGCTGGCTAATCAAATCTTCCCAGAATGCATTTGGGCGAAAACGGATCACAGGAGATTGTTTTGTCTGCCTTCACTGGGACTTGAGTTTAGATTAGTTTTTTGCTGAGACACGTCTGTAGGGGTTTTCTAGGGGTCACATGTGTGACAGGGGTCACATGTGTGACAGGGGTCACATGTGTGACAGGGGTCACATGGGTGACAGGGGTCACATGTGTGACAGGGGTCACATGGGTGACAGGGGTCACATGTGTGACAGGGGTCACATGTGTGACAGGGGTCACATGTGTGACAGGGGTCAGGGGTCAGATAGGTGACAGGGGTCAGGGGTCACATGTGTGACAGGGGTCACATGGGTGACAGGGGTCAGGGCAGTGGCGTAGCGAGGTCGGGTGTCACCCGGTGCGGCACTTAATGGTGTCACCCCCCCCTCCCCAGAGGCATAGAGACCCTTCCCAGGGACAAACTTTCAAATTTTCGATTCGCACCCCCCCCCTCAAACTTTCGATTTGCACCCCCCCTCAAGTTTTCGATTTGCACCCCCCCCCCCTCAAACTTTCGATTTTCTTCTCTATATATTTTGCTATTTTTTGCCTTGGTGTCACCCCCTAAATGGTGTCACCCGGTGCGGTCCGCACCCCCCGCCCCCCCCCTCGCTACGCCCCTGGGTCAGGGGTCAGATAGGTGACAGGGGTCAGTGGTCACATGTGTGACAAGGGTCACATGTGTGACAGGGGTCAGGGGTCACATGTTACATAGCTTAAATAAGGCCATATGTGCCTCCAGCCCTGTATCTCTAGTTCACATGAAGCCCATACAGGCCTCTTGTCGTCCTGTATGTGCACATATCCAGCTTCAAATCTCAGCGTTTTAAAAATGTCTCAATCTTTTCTGACCGCTCTTTTTTTTCCATCCTCGCGACAAGGGAGGTAATATTGGCAAAGGGAAATTAAAACGGCATTTTTTTAAATTGAAAATTTAAACTGAATCCTCTAAAGATACGATTAAATAACCGGTGGTGACTTATCCCATTGTATGTTTACGTGCACAGAAATAGTCTTCAAATGTCCGTATAGTGAAATATAAAACCGAAGTTTTGGTGGGGCTAGTCAGATCTAACTGCTTTAATCAGGGGGTTGAGAAGGGGGTGGGGTCTCGCAGCGAATTAGGTTCGAGGTTTCCCAATAATCGTCTCTTGTTTCCGTGCTTTGGGCAGCAGATGTCATGGTCTTTGACAGTCTGATGGATTCTCTGGCCGGGATGAAATTCTGGGGCATTTCAACTGCTGAGGCCATGGGCACACTCTCGCTGTTTGAAGCTGGCGTTAAAAATCTCGACTCACAGTCAAGTGACCCACGCTGTTGTGTGTTGTACTGTCTGCTGGCTGATCTTGTGCTGCCCGTACATTGACGTGTTTGCTTCTGTTTGAAGTAGCATCCCTTCCTACACACCTCAGTGATAGACGTGTACATGGTAACTGGTAGTTGTGTCGTTTTTCATTGAGACGTCAGTGCTGGTTACACTGTTGCTGAGGCTGGGACATGTAAGGGTGGGCTACGTTAAACTTGTTGGTGTGGGCACGGGTTAAACTTGTTGGTGTGGTCACGGGTTAAACTTGTTGGTGTGGTCACGGGTTAAACTTGTTGGTGTGGTCACGGGTTAAACTTGTTGGTGTGGTCACGGGTTAAACTTGTTGGTGTGGTCACGGGTTAAACTTGTTGGTGTGGTCACGGGTTAAACTTGTTGGTGTGGTCACGGGTTAAACTTGTTGGTGTGGTCACGGGTTAAGCTTGTTGCTGTTGGTGTTGTCACGGTCGGACGGCGGTTAGCTGGCGGTTAACTTGCGGTTAACTTGCGGTTAACAATTTGTTACACTGTTTAACCCTGTTGTTAAACACTTGGCATCAAGATGGCTGAATGTACAAGGGTGCCAAAAGTCTAGCGCTGCTAAGTGTACTTACATCCCTTGGTAAACTGTAGGACTAAAGGCAAGGAAACAAACTTAAAGGAAGTGACGTTTGTCAGGAAATAGCCCATCTGTGAATCCCCGGTGAATAGGGGAATCCCCATTGAATAAGATCGTCGTTTTGTAGTGTAAGTCAGTAAAAAAGGAAGGAAATTGTGAAAGTCTCCAGTATTTTGTCGGGGACTGTGTGGAAGGCAACACTTCATAGAGGATACAAACACCAGACTTTGTTAGACCACAAATGTTGGACCACAAAAGTTGGACCACGAATG